TGTGACACACACACACACTGTGACACACACACACACTGTGACACACACACACACAGAGACTCACACACACAGTGACACACTCACACACTGTGACACACACACACAGAGACTCACACACACACTGTGACACACACACACACAGAGACACACACACACACTGTGACACACACACACACACAGACTCACACACACTGTGACACACACACACAGACTCACACACACACACTGTGACACACACACACACAGACTCACACACACACTGTGACACACACACACACACACACACACACTGTGACACACACACACACACACAGAGACTCACACACACACTGTGACACACACACACACACAGACTCACACACACTGTGACACACACACACAGACTCACACACACACACTGTGACACACACACACACAGACTCACACACACACTGTGACACACACACACACACAGAGACACACACACACACACTGTGACACACACACACACACACAGAGACTCACACACACACTGTGACACACACACACAGAGACTCACACACACACTGACACACACACACACACACAGAGACACACACTGTGACACACACACACAGAGACTCACACACACACACAGACTCACACACACACTGTGACTCACACACACACTGTGACACACACACACAGACTCACACACACACTGTGACACACACACAGAGACTCACACACACACTGTGACACACACAAACAGACTCACACACACTGTGACACACACACACACACTGTGACACACACACAGAGACTCACACACACACTGTGACACACACATAGACTCACACACACACAGACTCACACACACACACTGTGACACACACTGACAGAGACTCACACACACACTGTGACAGACTCACACACACACTGACACACACACACACTGTAACACACACACACACACACTGAGAGACACACACACTGTGACACACACACACACTGACAGACTCACACACACACTGACAGAGACACACACACACACACTGACAGAGACTCACACACACACTGTGACAGACACACACACACACTGTGACAGACACACACACACTGTGACAGACACACTGTGACACACACACACTGTGACAGACACAGTGACAGACACATACACACACTGTGACAGACACAACACACACACTGTGACAGACACACACACACACTGACAGACACACACTGTGACAGACACACACTGTGACAGACACACACACACACTGACAGACACACACACACACACTGTGACAGACACACACACACACTGTGACAGACACACACACACTGTGACAGAGACACACACACTGTGACAGAGACACACACACACACTGTGACAGAGACACACACACACTGTGACAGAGACACACACACACACTGTGACAGAGACACACGCACAGACTGTGACAGAGACACACGCACAGACTGTGACAGAGACACACACAGACTGTGACAGACACTGACACAGACACACCCACAGACAGACATTGAGTGAGTCTGACTCAGTCACAGTGAGGCTGTGAGACTCATGAGCTCACAGTCCAGGTGGACCCTCCAGTGGGGAGAGAGAGCTACAATGTGAGGTTCCGCGGCTCTATTGGAAAAGAGAAGGGAGTTTCTCTCTCCCGCCGTCCTGGCCAACAATCCCCCACATAAAATGAGTCGCAGACATCATGGCTGTTGACTGGTGCCCACAAAACACAGTCACTACATTTCAAAGTAATAGCAAAACATTCTGACGTGAATAGATGGGATGAAACGACAAGTTCTCTCTTTCTCAGTTGTTTAATTTCACAGTGAATGCACGTTATTTGCCCCGGTGTGTGTCAGTTCACGTTGTGTTGGTTTGGGGGTGGGGTAGGGCAGCGATCACAGGGACAGCTGCGGGTGGCAACTGCCCCCCAATGCTCTCTGCAGCCCCCCGATGCTGAGGTTGCCCCCGATGCCTCCGACTGCGATAAGTTGCCCACCCAGTGCCGAGTCCAGTGTCTGCACCGCTTTGTTATTGAGGTGGATCCCACCCAGAACCTGCAACCAAACAGTCAGTCATCACAGGCTCATTACAGCCCTCATCAGCACGCGCTCATTACAGCCCCCATCAGCACGCGCTCATTACAGCCCTCATCAGCACGCGCTCATTACAGCCCTCATCAGCACGCGCTCATTACAGCCCCCATCAGCACGCGCTCATTACAGCCCTCATCAGCACGCGCTCATTACAGCCCCCATCAGCACGCGCTCATTACAGCCCTCATCAGCACGCGCTCATTACAGCCCTCATCAGCACGCGCTCATTACAGCCCTCATCAGCACGCGCTCATTACAGCCCCCATCAGCACGCGCTCATTACAGCCCTCATCAGCACGCGCTCATTACAGCCCTCATCAGCACGCGCTCATTACAGCCCCCATCAGTACAGGATCATTACAGTCCGTCTGCTTGTGGGGGGAGGGTTGGGGGTGGACGGACTGAGATGGAGACACTGACCATTTTCCTCCCTCCTTAACCCAGGGGCTCCCACAAAACACAGTCACTAAACTTTACTGTGTATCCTGTGAAGAGCTTTGAGACATGTCGGCAATGTGATAAGGTGCTGTATCAAATGCCAGGATTATTATTATTATAGTTCACGGAGGACAATCGGAGTGGGGCCCTCCACTCTGCACAGCAACATTCTCATGTGGGCCTAATGAACAGGCTTTAAACTAATAATCCCTGTGCCGGCTGTGCTGGGCCTGAGAGAGAGGACCGTTCCCTTGACAACAGTCCTGCTCGTGTCCTTTATTTACACCCTACGTCAGGGAGTGTGACGTGATGTGATGTGATGGGCTTTGTGCTGTGTGTTGGGAGAGACTCGCTCCTCAGCTCAGGTTACGTTCCTCGCTGTACAATGGAATGTGGGAATGGTTCGGGCAAGTGGAAAGATTCCGTTCCATTCCATCCACAAACCACTGTCTTTGGCCCTGAGAGGTTGTTTATGTTGGGACGTCCCGACGTGAAAGGCAAAAAACAAATGGGATTTGTTGTTGTTGGTGTTTTGAGCCCCCGGCCTGGCTTCAGCCCCGGCCCCTCTCGCTTGCTCGCCCTCCCTCCCCCTCCTCTTTACCGACAGTCAGCGATTGAATGTCAGCTACACTCATCGTGCCGAGGTCACAGGCATTGCCTGGCTCCGCGCCCTAATTCCCTTCCTCGCTCTGTGCGCTGGACATTAGTGGACTGGATATTAAAGACAGAGCCTGTCTGACCACTTGTCTCTCCATCACTTTCTCCACACTTAATGGTTTACGTCCAATAACCTCTAACCTTGGCAGCGAACTGTCACTGCCATATGTCGGGCCAGATTCAGCCCTGAGAGGAACTCCCACCCTCCCCAACACCCTCCACACACCCTGACTCTACAACCCCCCCCACTCAGACACAAACAACCCCCCTGACCCCACTCCCCCCCCCATCCCACATCCCCCACCACCCACATACACAGACCCTCCCGCCACATCCCTCTCACCCCTACACAGACATCCCCACCTACATCCACCCTCCCACACTCCCACCCACCCCACACACACATACACACACACGGCGAGGTGAACCTTTTGCATTGCTGACTGCCATCGACAAGAAATATTAATCATCAAAATCTGTTTTCTTGCAGCTAAAAATCTTAATCAGCTGACTCCGAACTCCCTGAGGGATAGCCCTACGCCCGGGCACGGCCTGGGGGCAGGTCGGGGAGGGTGGGGGCCGGGGGGGGAAAGCAGGGAGATCGAAAGCACAGTCGATAATAGAGTCCCTCACACTGCGTGGAGTCTCAGTCGCTTGGGATAAGAAACAATATCAAACGTCATTGATTGGGGGGGGAGACCTTGAGCTGAGTGAGGGGCGATGGGGTTGGTGAGAGCAGAGAGCGAGGCTCATGGAAATCAGATGTAGCCAACACAGACGATGCCAAATGAATCAAGTGTTACTGCCACAGCTTCTGACACCATCAGCAAAGCAGAAGGAATGTGTGTATGTGTGTGCGGGGTGTGCGCGTGTGTATGAGGGGAGCGTGTGTGTTAGGGTTGTGTGTGTGTGTGAGGGGCGTGTGTCTGTGTGAGGGGATTGTGTGTATGTGAGGGGAATGTGTGTGAGGGGCGGGTGTGTGTGTGTGTGTGTGTGTGAGGGGCGGGTATATGGGTGTGTGCAAGGAATGTGTTTGTCCCTCTGTGAGGAACATATGTGCATGTTTATGTGTACTTGTGAGGAACATGTGTGTGGGTAGCCAGGATGTCCCAGCGTCAGCACTTCACACTTGGACCTGATTAGACGGGAGCAGATGTGAAATGTTTCAGCAGGGATTTCTGGCTAAATGTGACTGTGTCACATCACACGCCTCACACATGCTGTTTAATAATAATAATAATCCTTGCATTTGATATCGCGCTTTCCACGTCTTCTCTATGTCTCAAAGCGCTTCACAGAATATGCTGTAAATAAAGTGAATTGACTGTATATTTGTGGTTTACTATTAAGGTGCTCCGGGAGGGGAGGGGGCCGGGGGGGAGGGAATCAGGGGTGGGGGCGGTGGGAGGAGAGCACAGGTCTGAAACCCTGCCTGTGTGTGTGTGTGTGTGTGTGTGTGTCTGTGGTTGTCTGGCTCAGTCTCCACACTCTCAGCTGTGGGTTCAAGCCCCATGTCAGGGACTTTTAAACTCAATCCAGGGTAGTGCTGTGGGTGGGAAATGCTGTCCTTCAGGTGAGATGTTAAACCAAGATCCTGTCTGTGGTCTGTTCAGGCGGATGTTAAAGATCCAACCGTTCCCCTCATAAAATTGGTCATTCACTTCATGACTTGACTGTCGTGGGACATTGCTGTGCAGAAACTGTCTCTTGTGTTTGGCTGCAGCATACACAGTCACTCCACTTTACAGCAAAAAGATAACAACAACTTGCATTTATACAACAACAACAACAAAATAACATTTGTAAAGCACCTTTCATGTCGGGAAGATGTCCCACGGCGCTGGACAGAGTTTCAGACCCGAACTGGGGGTCGGGGAGGGTGGGGACCGGGGGGAAAGCAGGGAGATCGAAAGCACGGTCGATAATAGAGTCCCTCACGAGTCTCAGTCGCTTGGCATAAGAAACAATATCAAACGTCAGGCTGGGAGAGGCCACTCAGTGACTCTCACACACACGTCACAGGGCAAAGTTTCAAATGTGCCACAAGTGCAGACACTTGTGGGCGAGTGTGGGCAGAGCATCAGGTGGTCAAGTCAGTGACCGTGGGGCAGGGCTGCCACCTGGTGGAGATCCTCAGCAACAGCGCAAGAGACTCAGTCCGAGGAGCTCACGGGAGAGAGACAGAGACTGGGGTGGGGGGTGACTGATAGAGATTGTGGGGTGGGGGAGACTGACAGAGACTGGGGGAAGTTTAAGTGACCTTAATGATTCCGCAATGCTGCAGGTGGAATTAGAAATGGGAAAATTGGAATAAGAGCAGCTATTACTTCCCCTGTGTGCATGTGGGGGGGGTGGTGAGTGTGGTGGTGGGGGGGGGAAGTGGGGGAAGGGGGGAGTGTGGAGGGTTCTGGGGGGGAGGGGTGGTTCTCACTGACCTGGTTGGTATTGATGTTGGTGATGTGGGCACTGCTGGTGCCGCTGCCTCCGGCCAGGACACAGTCCGAGTGGCAGAATCGGGCCGTGTACAGGAACTGTCCCTGGCTCAGGCTGGTCGGGAACCGCAGCACCTTCTCCACCCGGAGGCTCCGCAGGTCCCACAGCTGCAGCGCCTCACTGGGCACCCAGGAGGCCGTCACCACAGAATTCCCCTGTGTTTGGGAAGGACAACAACATTACATGTGTTTTGCGCCTTTCACATCGGGAGGACGTCCCAAGGTCCTAGACAGTCAGACTTTTGAACCCGAGCTGGAGGTCGGGAGTGGGGTGGGGGGAGAGGGGAGGACAGGGGGGAAGCAGGAGATCGAAAGAGGGGTCAAAGAGGAGGATCTTGAGATGGGTCTTGAAGGTTGCAAGGGAGAGGGCGAGATAGAGGGACTGCGGGATGGAGTTCAGGAGGCTGGGGGCAGAGTGGCTGAAGGCCCGATCACCAATGGCGAGGTGGGGGACGTGGAGCAGGCCAGAGCCCGCTGCGCGGAGGGAGTTGGTGGGGGTTAGGAGGTCGCAGAGGTTGGGGGGAGCGAGACCACGGATCAGCACCACGTCACTGGGCACAGGGCTCTACTCACCTGGATGTCGATGCCGGCACCACAAATGTGTGGGCCCCCAATCGAGCGCTGAGCGGATTTTGCCGCCCGTTTGTCCCAGACCTGAGAGTGAGAGACAGGAACAGCTTTTAATGCCAGAAACAAGGTGGGGGGGGGGGGGGGGGGGGGTGGCTCAGAGCCGGGGGGGGGGGGGGGTGGGGGGGCTCAGAGCCAGGCTGGGGGGGGGGGGGGGGCTCAGAGCCAGGCTGGGGGGGGTGGGGGGGCTCAGAGCCAGGCTGGGGGGGGGGGTGGGGGGCTCAGAGCCAGGCTGGGGGGGGGGGTGGGGGGCTCAGAGCCAGGCTGGGGGGGGGGGGTGGGGGGCTCAGAGCCAGGCTGGGGGGGGGGGGGGGTGGGGGGCTCAGAGCCAGGCTGGGGGGGGGGGGGGGGGCTCAGAGCCAGGCTGGGGGGGGGGGGGGGTGGCTCAGAGCCAGGCTGGGGGGGGGGGGGCTCAGAGCCAGGCTGGGGGGGGTGGGGGGGGGGCTCAGAGCCAGGCTGGGGGGGGGGGGGGGGGTGAGACTGTGTGTGTGTGTGTGAGAGAGAGACTGAGCTGCACTCACTCACTGTGTGGGGGAGTTGGGAGAGCAGCGCAGTCCTGGGCTGAGTCCGCCTTTACCTTCAGGGCGCGGTCCCAGCCTCCGGTCAGGAAGGTGTGGTGCTCCTCCGGGTGGAATCTCAGCGCAAAGATACGTTTGGTGTGGCCACTGGTCAGCGACAGGTCATCCCAGGAGCGGACATCAGGGGCTTCAAACACATTACACACCTGAGAGAGAGACAGAGAGAGAGAGACAGTGAGAGAGAGAGAACGAGACAGAGAGAGAGTGAGAGACAGTGAGTCAGAGAGAGAGAGAGAGTGAGAGGGACAGACAGAGAGAGGGAGAGAGAGAGAAAGAGACACAGAGTGAGAGACAGACAGAGAGAGAGTGAGGATAGACCGAGAGAGTCAGGAAGAGAGCGAGTGAGAGAGACAGAGGGAGAGTGAGACAGAGAGAGAGACAGAGAGAGAGAGAGAGAGAGAGGAAGGCGGTGTCGGTCAGAGCACAGAGCACAGTCTGAGCAGAGACACAGGACGAGCCTTTCAGCCCATCTCCGCGGCTCCGCAGTTTCATTAGAATTTAGCAGTTCTTTTATCCCAATCCCTCTGACTCCCCCCACACTCCCCGGAGAGGTTCCTGTCCTTGTGCTCAGTGAGGGGTGTGTGGTCAGAGCGGTTCCCCGCGGTGTTGGGACCTGGTTGGTGAGGCTGTCGTACAGTCGGATGCTCCTGTCTTTTCCGGCTGTGGCAAAAATGCCGCCGTCCAGAGAGAAGTCCAGTGCATTGATCTCGTTGTTTTCTTCTGCAGTAAAAGCAGAACCTGAGCAGTTAACCTCTCAGAGCCCAAGAGCGTCAACACAGTAACCGCCCCCTCCCCCCCCCCCCCCCCCGCACTCCACTTCCCCCACCGCCCCCCACACTCCCCCCCTACTTCTCCGACCTGTGTACTACCCAATCCATTACCCGCTGACTCCACTTGACAGCCTCCAGCCTCCAGCCTCCAGCCCGTCACTGGTGTCCTCCATTCCACCATTAGTGGCTGCGCTTTCAGCCACAAAACCCTGGAACTCTCTCCCTCAATCCCTCCATTTCCCCCTCCTTCCCCATCTTCAGGTCGTGCTTGAAGACCTTCCTCTTCGACCAGTGGCTGTGGTCATCTCCCCGCAGCTTGGGGTTGTGCTCCCCCACAGTCAAGAAGCTCTGAGTCACTGCCCCGCGCAAGGAGCTCAATATAAATGCAAGTTGCTGTTACTCTCACAGTCACTCAGTGCAGAGTGGGGAGGGGGCTGTGTGGGGCTCAGTGCAGAGATGGGGAGGGGGCTGTGTGGGGCTCAGTGCAGAGATGGGGAGGGGGCTGTGTGGGGCTCAGTGCAGAGATGGGGAGGGGGCTGTGTGGGGCTCAGCGCTGTGCCAGGCAGTGATGATGAGATGCTATGCTGTGTGGCACATTTACCAGAGATAGTGACAGGTTCGGAGCCCAGCTCCCAATCGTAGATGTTGAGGTTCCCGTCGGCGCTGCCCACGAGCAGGAGGCTGGGCTGCAGCGGGTGGAACGAGATGCACATGGCGGCTTCTTGGGTGCGATGTCCCTGGCAAACCTCCCTCTGCACTGCCCCTGTCTCGGCCTCCAGTAGCTGAAAGAGACAAACAAACAAACAGCCGTGGAAACCGTTCCACTTGCCCTTTCGCCCCCCAAGTACCCGCGCCCACTGCTTCCCTCCCCCCAGGTACCAGCGCCCCCTCCCTCCCTGCCCCCGGGTACCTGCACGGCTCCGTTGCCGAAGCCCACAGCCAGCCGCTTGCTGTCGGCTGAGAAGCGCAGAGCGTAGATGCTATGATGGTCTTTACTGAGTCGCACTTTCCTCCGCAGCAGCAGCGGCGGCGACGACTCACACGAGTTGGGGTCGTCCATGTCACTGAGCCGCTTGCCTGCCCTCAGCCCTGCCACTGCCTGATTACCCTGAGACAGACACAGAGAGAGACAGGGACAGAGAGAAAGATTTGTTGAACTTTTCCTCGTATCCACACATCCTGTCCCAGGTCAAGTATGTGCTTGTTGTGTGGTGCTCTGTAACCAGATAATTAATCAGCCATTAATGAACATAATGTTCCTGGAATGAGGCTGACAGACAAAGGTAATCTATAACATCCAGACTCTTGTCACAAGGTGATCATAAAACACAGCCTGGGCCGGCCTGATGCAGTGAGCCAGCCAGACTGAGGGGAGAGTGAGTGTGTGAGTCTGCGTGAGAGGAGATGGGAGTTCGGTGCTGTGCAGGTTGAATGTAAAAATGGAAATTCTGTCTTCTTGCGAGGAAAGGCCAGGTGTTAATCTAACCTCAGATCAGCATTGTTCAGCTCTAATACACATTCACACTAACACACTGTGCTTACACACACACTGCAGTCACGCTCACATGTGCTCACTCTTCATCAGTTTATTTATTGACAGCAGGTCACTGATAACCACTTGGGGTTGTGCTCAAAGATCACAATTCATCCGCAGACATAGGGTCAATTTTCCACATGTATGCTGATGACACCCAACTCTCTCTCTCACTGCCTCCACCCTCGATCCAGGACCCACTGCTGTCCTGACAGAACGTCTGTCAGACATCAAGTCCTGGATGGGAGCGAACTTTCTTCAGTTGAACGTCAACAAGACCGAGGCTCCTGATTGGCTCCCGTCAGCGCCTCCTCATCTCAGGCCCTGACAGCATCAGCGTCCAAGGATCACACTCCATCTTGCTAAGCCAGTCCCGAACCTTGGGGTCTTGTTTGACGCTCAACTATCCTTTCTATAGTGTCCGTGTCCTCTCCTGCACCAGACTCCATGACCCTATTGCCCCATCCTTGCCCACTGGGTTCCCATCACAGAGGATACAGTTCAAGATCCTGGTCCTTACCTTCAAAACCGTTCATGGTCTTGCTCCCCCCACCTCTGCCACCTCCTAATCCCCTACCAACTTGCCCACTCCCGCCACTCAGCGGGCTCCGGCTTGCTTCACATGCCCCGCCTTGCCCACCCCATTATTAGCGGGAAGGCCTTCTGCTACCACCCTCTTGAACTCCATCCCGCAGTCCCTCCGCCTCGCCTCCTCCCATGCCTCCTTTAAGACCCATCTCAAGACCCTCCTCTTCGACTGTGCCTCCGGTCACCCTCCCTCCTCCTACCCACCTTCCATCCTCCCCCATCCCAAGCGCCTTGAGACATCCTCCTGACATGAAAGGCGCTTTACACATGTAATTTTGCTGCCGTTGTTGCAAAATAAGTAACTTCCTCAAACTTCATCCTGTGACTAACAGCTGCCGGCTACCCTGGCCCGCATTAAAAAGAGAGGCTTGTATTTTTATAGCCTTTATAGTGTCTTAAAGAGCTTCACAGGGGGACAGCTGTCAAGTGTAGTGACTATATATTTGTAGGCAACCATTCTGCTCACAGCAAGGTCTGCCACCCCCCTCATCGAGGAACTGATGTATCTGAAGGATGAAGGATGGCATCCACACAATGCAGCACTCGCCCACCTCCCTCCACAATCCCGCTCATCAGCCTAGATGACCCGATAAGAGGCTTGAACCCTTAGCATGATTGATGCTCCTGTTGCATCAATCCTAGAATATCCACTAAAAACTAGTGACTGCGCTGAAGACTGAACTCCCTGCGCACACCCAGCTGCTGGACAAACAGCGACATTCATTCACTCGCTCACTGCAGCACGACTAACTAACGGGCACACTCAGCTGCTGCCCTGATGCGATCCGTGCTGTGGCCATGATGCTCTGCTGCCTGGATTCCCATTACATTAGCACTCACCTTTGCTGTGCTCCCAGCCTGTGTGGTGTCACACGGACACAGCCCAGCTTCCAGGCTCCGCATTCTCAGCCTTTGCCATAGTTACACTCCAACAACAAACCCAAAAACCACACACTCATAAAGGCAGCCCGAGATCTGGAATCAGTCAGTCCTGATAAACAAGGAATATTTATATAGTCAAAATTGGTGATAAAAGACCCAAACTCCAAGCACTTAATTTGCAGTTATTTACACATTTTGCATTGCATTTATATAGCGCCTTTCGTGTCAGGATGTCTCAAAGCACTTCACGGTTTGACTCTGTGAATTAAACAAACTATTTTAAATTAACTTTTTGATTTTCTGCAGACTGTAGAGCCCACCTCACATTAAGCTTTCTACTGACCGAGCAGTTCCAGAACCCCCCACCCTGTCTCTTCCTGTATCAGCTTGGCTCAGCTGGTAGCATTCTCACCACTGGGTTCAAATCCATCAGGAACTCGAGCTCAGTCTCAGCTGACGCAAACATTGGGTGCCACAAAACAGTCACTATGCTTTACAGTATATCCTGTAAAGCTCTTTTGAGATATCCTCCTGATGCGAAAGGCGCTGAATCAAATGGAAGGATTAATTACTTAATTATCCTCCAGTTTAACTGCTCATTTATCTCAAGGCCAAGTGTTTGGAATGTGCTGAGGCAAAATTGGTGTTCGTGTTTGGTACAAAAAGACACCCAACAGTAATTACAGTAAAACACTTTATTCAGCATGATAGACCTACAAAATTGAGGTTATGGTTTCAGCAGAAGTGTAGTTAGTAATGAAGGCTGATGGTAGAAGGTCTCCATCAATCTCGTTCACTTTTCTGAAGCCCCACTGGCAGCAGATGCCCTGAGCTGCAGATTATCCTGGTAATACAGTAGCCTCCTGCAGCTGCCCAATTAACACAGCTGACGCTCACCAGTAATATTTCTGTAAGTAAGAAAGTGAACAGCCAATAGTTTGTCCAGGTGTTCGGAAACCAGGGTAATGGCCACACACACATTGCACAAGAACATGTCTGGATATCAGCCATGTGCCATGTGAATCTGTCAGCAGACACAGAGCTGAGCAGCAGCAGGGAACGGCCTGATGAGAGTCAGTGACTTTTGCCCAGGCTTGTGTGGACCAGGCCAGTCTTAATGTGAAAGTGAATCGATTGCACTATTAAGGCTCTGTTGCGTTTCTCACAGTCTCAAGCTTAGAGATAAATCACCACCATGATCTTAAAGTGAGTTTAATCAATTACCGGCTGGATTTAGTGCCTGTGTCTGGCCAGATTACATGCTCCATCTTCATGTTTTCATCAGGCTCCGCAGAGAGTAGCGCAGATGCCATTTCCCCTATTTTACAGGATTGCTAAGATAGTAAACTCTCAACTCCTATGAAAGCATCATCCTCCTGTCTATAAAGACAGACCGTGACTCTCAATGAACTAATCATAACATCCGGGTACAATGTGCAGCAGTTTCCCAGGAGTAATCTGGTTGAGAGATTTAAACCATTGAAGGGAGACTTATTGTTTTATAGCAAGACACATATGATACATGGGAACTATGAGTATTCAGTGATTATGGAATAAAGTTAGGGAATTTTGATTAAAAGATGTATGATACATAAAATGTTGTTGAAGAGGCTTCACAGCCAAACAGCCCTCTGTTCCTCACCATTCCCAAGCACTAGACTAGCAGATCACCTTGCTCTCAGTGCCACATTGTGGTCAGATGCAGGCAGTCGATAAGGGCAGTCCATACTGATCCTGGCACCAAATGATCCCCAATGGAAACTCTAAGTCAGGTGATTGCTTAACCCTATCAGCACATTGACAGTTATGCTCAAGGACACAGAATACAACGGACATGAAATACAGGTGCAGTAGAGAGCTTCACTCTGTATCTGAGCAATGTTGCACTTAACTGCACAAATTTATCAAAACTATATTTAAGTGTTTACATTTTATTCCCAAAAGCCATATTGCACAAGTTAGAGCACAAATCCTTCCACTCGAGCGGCACAGGAGCTCTCATATAGCACCTGGATCAGGTCTGTTGAGCAGACGTCTTAGTAGGGCAACAACAACTTGCATTTATATAGTGCCCTTCATGCAAGGAAACATCTCAGAGCGCTAACAGTGGTGGAGGCTGACGCCGAGGCAGGGAAGGGCTCGTAGAATTATAACAGAAGGTCATTCTGTCACGTCTGTGTCAGCTCTTGGCAAAAAAAACTACCCAAATCAACCCCACTATCCCCATAGCCCTGCAAACTTGTCCTCCCCAAGTTGAAGAGGAAGTTCTTCAGGCATGAAAATGGGGAAGGCAGAGGGATTGAGGAAGAGTTTCAGGCCATAGTGGCTGAAAGCACAGTCACCAGTGGTGATGGCCACACCTGGAACAACAGGGCAATAATCACATCAACATCAGTAACATTCTGTTCACTTACCTCTGGTGACCTAGTGCAGCCATTTCTACTCAGAGCACATATCCTGGTCTGTGCAATTAACTGCCTGAGTGAGCGCAAGCTTTGGCAGAAGGCAAGTCTCCTTCTCGGGTCAGCAATTGCCTCCAGCAGGGCTGTAGCTGTGGACAAGCCAAGCAAATGGGGCTTAGATTCCATTTAGGCCACATGCAGCTTGCTGTCCAAGGTGGTTAAAGGCAGTCCATACTATTTTCTATTTACCTCAACTGTAGGGAAAGTGTAAGAAAGCGATGTCCCACCTCCCCTGTCAGCCAACAAACTTTAGGATTAAACCAATAACTTATAAGTCATATTTGGCCAGAAACAATGCAGCTTTTTAATGGGGTTGCTGAAGCTTAACAATGATGAGGGACAGCGAGGCTGGAAAGAGGACAAGTCCTTGGATGACTTGGTGTTGACGAGGTATGAGATGAGGTTCCTGGGTTGGCCAGTGAGTGAGCATCCCCAGCCATACAGCGTGAGCCAGGGCGCTTGCCACACGACGGAAGAAAGGAAAGTGTCACCATCTTTTTGATATACATATATATTTTTTTCTTGTACAAAGTTACATTCTGAACCACAAAGGTTCATTAATAGGTAATAAATACTGAAATGGCCACACTGCAATATGAGCTATTGCGCTCACTAGAACGAAGCCTTGGCTTTCAACAGAGAGCAAATTCAACGCCGTAGCATTCAGTTTCAAATTACAGAGGCAATTAAAATACAAGATAAAGTGTCTAAGAGGTCAACTTACAAAAAATTACAGAGACCATAAAAGTGTTTCCTTAAAATAGGCCTGGAGAGAGATGAAGGCTTCCCGCTCAACAAAATGATCAATTAAATTAAACACTTTTGTTAGAGAAAAGCCATTTAGTAGTGTATAAAATGGTTGAGGTGCAGCTCAGGTTGTTACTTTATGTGTTTCCCTGTGGGCAGAGTGTCCAGAGCCATCTCTAACAAACTGCATTAAAAAAAGGAAGTGAAGGGGCCCCACGCGGGGCAATGCATCTCTCTCTTAACACCACGGGGCCAGAACAAGACTGACTGTAGCTCCATAGTGAACAGGTACAAGAGTATCAGGCGAGGTTCATGTCCTTTGGTAACCGTGATAACACCCACATAGAAATAAATAGATTGTATAATCATTGCAAATACAAGTTAGTTCTTTAGAATAGTGTTAGTATAATAATCCTAAAGAACTAACACGTGTTGATTACTAAGGCAGCCTATGTTCTTTGAAGTGACTATGCTCTGCAAGCGCTATCTCTTGGCAGTTGGGAAACCCTGGAGAAAGGACTGGGACAGAACAGCAGCTCAGTACATCCTGCTCCGAGCTTCACCACATACCGGAAGGGTCTTGGGGTAGGACAGTTCAAACACTCTGTGGTGGAATAAAACAAAACAAAAACAAAAGAACCCATGCATGTTTGCGTGTCACTTTGTGACCTTGTGGTGCTCAGTCATCATTGAACGTGACCTGCCACACAATCAGGTGGCTTCTCTCGGCTTTGGCCAATGACGGCTGGATCTGTAGTGTGTCGCCCTCCTCCGGTTCTTCACTCTCATCACCTGGAAGATAGAGACAGCTGTGAGCCACTTCCCAGCTGCAATTCACCAAGTCCTTCAGCACTTGGTGACTCAGGCCAAACACCCTGCAGCGCTAACAGATAAACCACTAACTTCGATAAAAGTTGTTTCTCAAGGTCACAGGATTAGTTTGGAGGAAGAAGGCCCTTATACCCATCTGATCTCATTCTGCTAGGAAGTCTAGCCTACTGTTCTCCCATCACCGTCCCCAAACAGTGTACGTACCCATTCTGAAATCGATGTATCCCTCTCCTCCACTCATCACCAGCATTGATCTGGCAGATAGCCCACTCGACACGTCGGTCACAGAAGCTCCTAATTTTTCAACTGAACTATCAAAGCCACTTGATTGTACGCCTGCAAACTGACCTGATGGCAGACAATGGCTTCATTAAACAGTATATACTCACAGATTATAAAATTACTGCATCAAAAAAAGTTCAAACTTTCAGGTGTATTGTAAGATAGAATGGCTGGAGCTATGTAATGGCCCCGGTTAATGGACAGACTGGGAGACCATATCTGACCTGGGCAGTTCCAAGCCACTAGTCATTCATAACATAGCAACAAGAAGCTTCCAGGAGGAAATAAGAGGCTTGTTCAATGCACTCACCTGGCACAGCCACAAAGAACTTCACAGCGTCCCGATGTCCGTGGAAACAGAGCTGTGCGTGAGCCATCGAGCAGTAGGGGATGAAAGTGCCAGGGGTGATCTTGTCACTGTTCTCATCACCGTACACACGGATGACACTTCCTGGCCGGTTGCCCGGTGTTCCTGATGCTTTATTAGCTGGAAGAAGAGAATGGTGTTAGCGACAGTCATGGCCCCGGAATGAAATGCTGGGAAATGCTGGACTTAAACACGAGGATGGCAGGTACCGGCTCAAGCTGAAGCAAAATGAAAGAAGGTGTTAAAATAAAAACAGGCACTTTAGGGAGACAAGGTCAGGCCAGGAAAGATCTGAAAAAAATGAATAATGGTTATCAGAGCATGCTGAGCAGTTCCTATGGTGTAAGAGCATGGGTAATGGAGTGACTGCTTTCCCTTTTCAACTGTTTTTTGTGCTACTGAGGGAGGTGGCGACCAAGAAAACAAACATTTACTGGGTTACCCTCAGCAGTGAAACAGGCACTGTTCAAACAGTGGTAGCAGCAAACAGGACTGCAACACACGTTTACATTTGTGGCTCAGCAGTTAGATGTGTACTGCCTCCCCTCCTGGTTTAAACAGACTGGGCTTTACACTGGTATTGCCCGGCTTCCTACTCTCTAAGCTGAAAAACAATCTGGTTTTATAATAAATATGTGCATTTGATATAGCACATCATCTCAAACTCTTCACAGTAATTACTGTTAAGTATAGAGTGCATTTGTGGACAATCGCAGCAGCCAATTTGCACACAGCAGGATCCCACAATAAGTCAGGACATGAGTGATCTATTTATCTGGGGATTGTTGGCCAGGACATTGGGAGAAACTTCTTTCTCTTTTTGAAAAGTGTTTTGGGTTCTTTACCAACCCTGACGGATGGGACCTTGATATAACAACTCATGTGAAGAACAGCACTTTTGACGATGGAGTGCACCCCCACAGCGCTGGACTGGGGTGTCAGCCTATTGGGTGAGCTCCAAGTTCCCACAACGAGTCTTGAACCCAAGCCTTCTGACCCAGAGGGAAAAGTGTGACTGACTATCACCTGACACTCAGCACACCTAAGGGAAGATTGCCCTGGTTTAAGGGTGTAGACTGGTTTGGTGCACTCCGTCCTCTCGCACAACTCCTAGAACTGACCAACGAGACCACACTTCCAGCTGAGAATGACAAAGATTCACAATGGAGCTAAAAGCAAAACCCGGCAATGCCTTCTAAGTTCCTGTTTTGGGCATAAGCAGGTTCTGCGGCGAAGGAACAATTGAGTGTTTTACTTGCTATTTTAGCACTGTTTCAATATAAAACAGTTCAGATTTGGTTGAATTTTATTTCTATAAGGACAGGATGCTACCCCACTACTGGATTTTCAACATTCCTTGTTTCAGTAGCACAAGGCACAAGTCCAGAGAACAGGAAGAACTAACAACGACAGCCCATCTCCATACCCATGGCCGGGGTGCACTTATGCAGAGAAACAAAGTCGTTACAGAGAGAGAAATGAAACGCAGGCAACAGAGGCTTTGAGGTCTCTGTGAGAAGACATGAAGATGACAGCCCTCAAGACAAGATATGTTCCTCAGCACTGAGTGAAGAGAGAGTACTGAGCCCATTGTGGCCATTCAGCTCACACAAACGTACACAGACACACACGTACGCGCACAAGCAATGCTGCAATGTTGTGATCAGTGCCAGGGGAACATTTAAGGACAGGCAGAGGGGCAACATTCTAAACAAAAAGTGGATAATAAAACTGCCTTGACTGGCTAAAGCAGGCCGAAAGAGAAAGGTTCCGATCAGTTGATCTCCACTTACCCCTCAGACCCAGTAAGCGTCCCTGGTGGAGAACTACAGCTACAGTGCGAAGAGGTGTAAGGGAGAGTGGATAAGTATGACAGTAGAGGAAAAGCATTAATGAGAACCCACCACTTAAATCTCATGCTTGCAGTTTCTTTAACAGACAGTTTTAAATCAAACCTATGCATTTTGTTTTTCATATAAAAAAAGCAACAGAAGATGGGGCTGGAATCATCTCCCTGGTCCGTGAAATGTGAGGAAAAGTTCACGCTCTGTGTCTATTTGTGCTTATTATTGAAGATTCGTTTTAAAAATATTTACTAAAGTCTAGAAGAATATTTATTGCAAGTCCTCCCATCAGAGAGAAATAGCAGGTCCACCTCACACTTTCCCTGCATTGCAGAGTCCTCTCTCAGAAGGATAGAGAACTGGCTTCTATGGTCAGAGTCAATCCAGAGCCACCCAGCATTGAGTGGATATCACGTATTCACTGCACTGAGCTTCAATGTATCCCTGGAGAGGGACTCCACACAAGCACAAACCCGACACCCATTCACCCCTGAAAATGGTGCAGTGAACAATGAAGCCAGAATACAAAGAACAACGGACAAAAGCTCTCTGTGCTCCCCACTTCTCTCCCAATGTCACACACCCCTAACATGGCCCGCCGTGATTTGGAGATCCAACACCCATAACCACTGTCTCACTCCAGGAGTTAGGCATTTGCCCAACTAGGTCCAGGGAGCAGTGGTGCCAGTTACATACTCCTGGCCTCCCACATCACTGCCCACAGGGGTCCACCACATTTTTAGTATAAAAACTATTTAAAAGAAATGTGGTACTTTGAAATGTCCAGAAGTAACTGCTAGAAGGAAGAAGCTGTCTGTCATACACAGGAACACCACCTCAGGCACTTGTGTTGCGATACTGTCTGCACAGAGAGTTGGAGAAGTGCCCTGGAGACTAAAACCATTAGACAAATATACAAAGCCAGTTGGAAGAGGAGGAACACAGGAACAGATATATAAATACAAATTGTGCTTGCTCATAAACAGACGTCACTTACTTTCTGTCAGCGGAATGGAGATAATGACACCGTTCCCCGTTCCCACCCACAGGCGGTTACAGGACACCATGAGTGCTGTGATTCGCACAAAAGAAAACCCCAGTTTCCCGGTACCTTCAAAAACACACAAAGCACAATGTCAAACACTCAGTCATACTGCACAGAAGGTGAGAGCAAGTTCATGAGGAGGGCAAAGGAGCTGCGTTATGAAAACACTCGCCCTCCCAGAGTAATCGGCCAATTACTCTTCTTGGTGAAGAGCCACATTTGAGTCAACGCTCGTCAGCTCAAATGTCTTCAGTACCAGAAACAAACAATTCGCCATTACTCCGTGCTCAGCTGAACGAATCACATGACATGCCTCAACACTCAACACTGACATGCCTGGAAATTGCTCAGCACATCACTGGGCAGAACGTGTTAAGACAGTTCTGGTTGTTTTGGGGGTATTTTGGCCAGAAGAGCCAATAACCAGCAAGGGGCAGTGATGATGTTACAGTAACTATCTGTTAATAATTTCTATGCATCATATGCCCTACCAACATCCATGAAAAGAACAGCCTATAACAGTTGTGATACACAAGTGGTAGGATGTGGATTCATGCCCATAATCCCACACTAATTTCCCTCTCTCCTCCTAATGAGGAGCTGAGCGGAGGCAAGACACTCCCATAGCAGGGAGGCCAGAGGATATGGAGTCAACTCCAGGTGTGATCTCATAACCTGCAACAGTGCCGGGCAATCATAGAATCGTACAGCACAAAAAGAGGCCATTCAGGCCATCGAGTCTGTGCGGCTCTTTGAAAAGAGCAATGTAATGTCAATCCCACTCCTCAGCCCTTTCCCCATAACCTGCAAACCCGTCCTCCTCAAATACCCTTCCACCGCGTTTCTAAAAGTTGTTATCGAATCGGCCTCGACCACCCTTTCAGACAATGGTTCCAGATTCGAACAACTCGCTGCGTGAAAAAATGTCTTCTCACCTCCCCTCGGCTTCTTTTAGAGACTATTTTGAATCTGTGACTTCGAGTCACTGATACACCCACCAGTGGGAACAGTTTTTCCCTTTCTAACCTATCAAATCCCCTCATGATTTTGAAAACCTCTATTAGGTCTCCTCCTAACCTTCTCTGCTCCAATGAGAATAATCGCAGTCTCTCTAGCCTTTCCTCATCATCATGGCCACCTCTTGTTCCATGTGTCACATTCGAAAGAGGCAGAGAATAGGAAAGGGAGAACTGCTTGACATAAACAGCAAAGCTCGTCTTAAAACACCATATAAAAGATGGAAAACTGGAGTCACCCACCTAACATTTTGCTGACATACGGCTCAATGTCTACATCTTGTAGGTGCTGGTAGGTATGTGCATGGTACAGGCGAAGGGTAGAGTCTAGACGGATGGAAACCCACACCCCATCTCCCACCCAAGCCAACTGTCTCACCTGGCTCTCCTTCCGTGGGTGGGCATCAAAAGATTTCTAGGAAGCAGAAGAGCGTTTTGCTGAAACGTCACAACATTAAGATGTTCGCACAGTAAGGAGTTCCCCATCGAGAAAACATTCCCGTCATTATCCTAGGTTGCTGTGTGTGCCCAGACCTCGGCAATAGCTACAGATCTGGGCACTTCCTGTAAAATTACCCAGATTAACTGGCGTTTATTTGACCTTTCCCTCTCCAAAATCCAAATGGGACAATGCAAACAAGATTTCAGTCTCATTGTGGGCAGTTTTCATTGATATTTGATTTCATTAAAAACAATAGAGTGGTCCATTCAGCCCGTGGTGTCTGCTTCTGCATTTATTAGGTCATGGGTGATCTACAACGTATACCACCATATCCCTTTACACACCTGCCTACCTTTATAAATGTTCAAAATTTCAATTGAATGAGAATCTACATCCTTTTGGGCTAGTGAATTCCACATTTCCACAATCAGTTGGATGACATTTTTTCTGATTTTATTCTTAGTTTAGCTTATGTTTTGAGGGAAGAGAACAACAAACAACAACTTGGATTTATAGAGCGCCCTTCATGCAGGGTAGTGTCTCAGAATGCTTAAAGCAAAGGAGAAAGCAAAGAAGCAGCAGCAAAGCAACAGAGGGACACACGTCCACGATGATCACCCAAACCTCCTGGCAGATTAGCCTAAAAACTTCAAGATCCTCACTCTAGTCTTCAAATCCCTCCACTCCTCTGCAACCCCCGACCTCTCTGACCTCCTCTGTCCTCAAAGCAGTACCCGTTGCCTTTGTTCCTCTGGGTCTGGCCTCCTCCTCGTCCCCCGAGTCCTCCGCTCCACCCTCGGCGGCCGTGCCTTCAGCCACTATGCCCTGAGGCTCGGGAACTCCCTTCCTCACTCCCTTCACCTCGCCCCCTCTCTTACCATTTTCAGGTCTCAGCTGAAGACCTTTCTTTTTGACCGCTCCTTTGATCACATTCTACCCCTCCTCCCCCTGGTTCCTCCCCCTCACCCTGGCTCGGTCCTGGGATCCGTTACTGTGAAGTGCTCTGAGACGTGGAGGGCGCTATATAAATCCAAGCTGTTGTTGTAAAAACAATGACTGCACGTTTGGTATCTTAGTGGATGCGGGTGCAGTTGATAGGGTGTGGGAGAACACATACCTCTGTTTACCTAGCAATATGTAGGAACCGGTGGTTAGTCGATTGGCGAATCGTTTTCCGGGGTTAATAATTCCTCAAAAAAAAATGGTCACTCAGTCCACGACTGCTTGTCGGCTACTGCTGTGCACAATTGGCTAAAATGTTTTGCCTACACTTTACAGCATATTCTGTGAAACTCTTTATGAGATGTCTCGATGATGTGATAAGGCATTTTATCAAGTGCAAGGATTATCATTATTATAGTATAGGGTAAAAACACAGTAGAAGATGAGTACACTGAGGTTGTGTAACAGCTGAGTAAGTGCTGTGAGTATATGCACTACAGATATTAAGGTCATAAGATTTTCCCCCTTTGGAAAGCTCACTTGAAGAGCTGCATGAACATTTGAAGGGCCACAAAACTGGGGTTTGGAGCTGTCAGATTATCTTGGGTCTGAGAACTGTTACCTCTATTTTCATGGCCTTTGGTTGCACTGAGTAGATCTTGTTCCTGTAACCACACCACACTTTATCGTGCACCACAGTCATGCAGCGGATGGAGTGATGAGGTCGCCCAAGGTCCAAAAGATGGTAGTTTGTCAGGTCCCATTGGCCATCTGAGAAACAGCCCAAAAAAAGCAGGTAAACAGTTCATTAATAGCACAAAGCAAAATAAACTGGAGCACATCTTCACTCCTGTTAGAGAAAGAAACAATATCATGCTGAAATGCCTCAAAATGCTTCCCAGGTTAAGTTTAGTCTGTGAGCCCGAGGCATTCTGTCCCAGAGGCAAGTGTGCCATTTCTGTACACATTCACTGTAAGACCAGTTTCTCCTTTACACATCCATTCCTCTACATCAGGCTCACTAGTAATCTATACTTTGGCCCTTGAAATCCAGTACCAGACACAACACAAGAAATGCCTAGCAGATTAAAGCAGATATTTTAAGAATTTATCAGAATGATTGATGTTATACTACAAGCGCATTGAAAACTACTTTCCTTTAATTTGAAGCAAAACATCAGTAATTATGCTTGAGACTGCTACTCCCGTGGCCGCAGTACTCCTGTGATGATGGTGGTGCTAACTGTGGGGTAGACCTATTTACACCAGCCTGTTGATCTGACCATGAGATGAACCAGCTAGCATGAGACAGGGCGGGAACGAGAGAGCAGCATTGTGAAACAGCACTGGTGCAACAAACGGGTCACAGGAGAAAGAGAAAGCTATTTAGGCTATTTCAATGATAGAATCACCGATGTAGCACTGGGCACGGGCTTGCTCTGATTACAGGATGAGAATATCGGAGGATAGGGATCCATTCAGTAACTAATATGAGGAGGTGTCATTTTGCACTTTGCCATTGACCCTTGTTCTCACTCACACAGCGGCAGCCAGCAGATGTAAAGTAACTTACCTACTCCTCTGTGAAAAATAGCCAAGGTTCCATCAGCTAATGCAACTAACACTCGTCCTTTTACGTGTCTGAGGTAAAGAGAAAGGAGTTGTAAGTAACTGCAACTCTCAACAGCTTAAAGGGCTGATTTCAAAAGCCCCACACAATAATCATCAGATACATTTCTTGCCCCAAATCACGTGACTTCCTATTATTGACAAATCATTTGTCATGCACTGCACTTGTACAAATTGACAATTTGATGCTTAAAGTGTCAGCAGAGAGTCTGACATTTGGCTCGAATTTAAATCATCAGCGACAGAACAGTGAACATTTACTTACACAATACTAAGAATAGAATCCTTCAGCTTAATGGAATGCAGACATTTCTTCCACTGAGCTACTGAGGAATGGACGTACAAACTGCCAAAAAAACAAAAGATGCATCTCTTCACTATCCAATTTTAACAAAGATCAAATTCTAGAGAAAATATGTTAAATTTCTGAATGAAATTAAAAAAGCAGATATCCCAGTGTTACTACAGCAGCTGGGCCTGAGGTTATAAGGGAGCTAATGATTACAACACTACCACAAAATTGGTATTTTGCTTTCTAAATAAGACTTGTTAAAATAAGCGTTCACATAACAACAACAAGAAGATTCCATTTATAGAGCGTCTTTCACGTCGGGAGGACGTCCCAAGTTGGGTCAGGACCCGAGCAGGGGGGAAATGGTCAGGGTGAGGGAGGGAAGGGAGGGAGCGGGGAGGGGGTAGAGAGTTGAGTAGGGAGCTGAAGGCATGGTCAAAGAGAAAGGTCTTGAGACTGGCCTTGAAGGAGGAAAGGGAGGAGGCAAGGCGAAGGCACTGGGGGATAGAGTTCCAGAGCCTCGGGGCTGAAGGCCCGGCGATTGGGGCGGGGAATGTGGAGCAGACTGGAGCCAGAGGATCGGAGGGTATGGGCAGGTAGATAGGGGGATAGTAGGTCGGAGAGGTAGGAGGGAGTGAATGGCCTTGTAGGTGAGGATGAGGATCTTGAAATCGATCCACTGGGGGATGGGGAGCCAGTGGAGGCGAGCGAGGGTGGGAGTGATGTGGTCACGCAGCCTGGTGCGGGACATACACGAGCTGCAGAGTTCTGAATGACCTGCAGCTTGTGGAGGGAGGTGCCGGGAAGGCCGGCGAGGAGAGAGTTCCCATAGTCCAGCCTTGAGTTGATAAAGGCTGAAGAAAGTTGTCTCTCGTCAATGGCGGACAGGCAGCTGTCAGGACATCGGTGGTCATGGAGTTGAGGGTAGAGGAGGAAAGGTAGAGTTGGGTGTCATCCGCATACATGTAACCCCATGTCTGCGGATGATGTCACCAAGGGGGAGCATATAGAGGGTGAAGAGGAGGGGACCGAGGACAGAGCCCTGAGGGACACCGCACGAGACAGTGCGGGGGCCGGAGGAAAAACCATTCGCGGAAACAAAGTGGAGACGGTGGGAGAGGTACGACCTAAACCACTCAAGGACAGGGCCTTGAAGGTTGAGGTGGGAGGACAAGCGGTGGAGGAGGATAGCGTGGTCGACCGTATCGAATGCTGCCGATAGGTCGAGGAGGACGAGGAGGCAGAGGGAGCCCTGGTCACAGATGGTCAGAATGTCATTGGTGACCTTGACCAGGGCAGTTTCTGTGCTATGGTCAGCGGAAACCTGACTGAAGGGGATCGAATAATGAATGGGTGGAGAGGAAAGAGCGCAGCTGGGAGGCCACAACTTGTTCCAGGACCTTGGACAGAAAGGGGAGGTTGGAGATGGGCCGGTAGCTTGATAGCTGCGACGCATCAAGGGAGGTTTTTTTCAAGGTGGGAGTGATGGTGGCAGTTTTTAAGGGAATGGGAACAGAGCCAGAGGAGAGGGACAGGTTGACGATGTCTGCGATATGTGGGGCAAGGAGGTGGAGCTGGGAGATACGGAGTTAGTCACTGTGAAACAAGGAGCAAGCTTGTGTCAACACTCTCTCCCCAATTATTGTACTCAGGCAGCAAGGGCTGTCAGCACTTGGATACAGATTCCCCCATCTCTTCTCACCCCCAAAAAATGAAACACCCAGTTACTCACCAGCCGCTCTGTGCCCCAAGCCACATGGTTGGCAAGACACTACTCATCTTCTCGGCCTCCTCCCGCATCAGGTCTTGCTCCAACGGCAGTGCGGACACACCGTCTTTATATAGATCTGACTCTCTGTAAAAGACACATGAACAACACGCTTCAGGTCCCTGGGCCTACTAATAAAATACAGATTGGAAAGATACAAGAATTTAAAGGAAAAGGTTTTCTAATGGATAAGAACTCCAGCACCCCCAGGGAAACTGGAGCTACGGTATGCAAGCAGAAGGTGTAGTTTGCTGATACCCTTACCTTCGGTTAAACGACTGCGCACTGTCCGAAGAGTTCTGCACCCCCAAAGGGTCTGTAAAAACATGCTCCGTGTAAGCACCGGACTGACTGACATCGGATGAATCGTCTGCTGATGTGGGGATGTTTAAATTAGCTTCGGTTGCTTCTGTTGCCTCTTCTGCTGTCAAAAGACTGTCATCAGGGCTATCGCTCACAGCACCCATCTCTCCTGTGACAAAGAGCAGGGGTCACTGACAGCCACTACTCCTAAATCACTTATATACTGTGATCACAAAGAGCATTTTATGCAGAATACATGGAAGGAAGCCACTGTGGCAATAAAGCAAAGTAGCAGCATCTAACTCATTAACTCTAACAGAGTCACCGTCCTCAACGTGGAAAGTTAAAAAATCCCTCAAAGCTGCAGAGCTACAGCCTGCCTGGGGCTGAGTGAACCTCGGCCTCACCTGAATCTCCTTCAAGCAGCAGAGAGGAGCTGACCGGTGTGTTCGTGCTTCGAGCGCTGCCTTCTGTGGTACAGCCAACAACCGTGATGCCACCCAGCAGTCCGTCGCTTCCTGCTGAGCTATTGCTAGCGACACTGCCAGTGAGGGAGGCACACTCAGCCTGGCTGCCCTCCACCTCCGTCGGGACTTCCTCTCCAGCCAGGTAGTCGGTTTCTCGCGCACCTGTAGGTTAGAGAAGTGATGGTGAACTACTGTATCATTAAACTTCACATCCTGATACTCACAGGGTAAGGACTTTCAGATATTTTGACAAATTCTAAGGTTTTTATTTTCAACAACTACAAATTGCATTTATATAGCTAGAGCCTTTCATGTCAGAAAGGTATCCTAAGTCGCTGGCAGTTAAGGGTTTGCACCCAAGCTGGTGTTGGAATCAAGAGAGGATGGTGGCGGAAAGCAAGGTCAAAGAGGAAAGTCTTGAGAGTACTAACACATACCTGGGACACTGGCAAGACAAAGGATATGCGAGTTGCAGACAAAGAAACTGTCTAAGATGGTGCGGGGCTGGTTGGCATCTATAACAATAACCTTGCCAGTAGAGTGTGTGCTGGTGCAAATCCATACCAGGCTGGACACTTCATCCTGCTGCCTCAGCTCCTTCTCCTGTTCCTGCACAACACAGAGGCTAATAAGCAGATAGGCCGGCTCAGAACCCACCCCTATAGCTACTAACTAAAAAGATTGGAAAGATTAGGAAACAAAGCAGCTTAAACCTTACATTTACATGTCTGGAAATTCTACCACAGTGAGAAGCGATCACTGGTTTGTGATTTATTAATTATCAAAATTATTTATTACATTAAACAGACATCCCTGCTGACAACCAAGGGAAGAGATGATGGTATCCACCGGGAGCTGTCTTCAGTGGAAGTTTCTAACTTAACATATCAGGGATAGAGCGAAATAGAGATATGATAAACAGACACTACACTCCATATTATGTTCTATGAAGTCTTTTCAAATGTTCACTGTGATATGTCACTTTAAAAACTGCTGTGTGCAACTGTCTGTCGCGTTTCACCCACATATAGTCAATTCATCTTACAGTATATTTTGTGAAGCGCTTTGAGAAGTCTAGAAGACGTGAAAAAGCGCTATATCAAATGCAAGGATTATTATTATTTATTATTATTTCCTCACAGGGAATGCAAGAGCACTCAAGCCCTCCCTTCCCCCATGACAGCATCACTGGATTGGTTTGCTACTGCACTCTCAGTATAGGGCAAAATAGGGAGAAACAGAGTGAAAACAAACAATAAACTGCAGCCTTGCAGTTTGGGGACTGGGTGAAGTTGCAGACTGAATGAACTGAAGTCTCACTAACAATAATCACATGTCCTTTTTGAAATATGACATACTTTAAGTTCCTGCTCCAGCCGATCCAAGCTGCTCTGAGAACCACTGCGCTGTTTACTGTGCTCAATTTCCAGCCCGGGTGCGTCGCTATAAAATACACTTGCACCAAAGATCGAGCCACCATCACGGGTTTTTCCTCCTGATACATTGACCCCAACGGCACACCATAACTAAGAAAGACAAAATACAGTATTACAGGGGAGCAAGGATGGATACACAGCGTTATAGGAGTAAAAGGGTAGAGACCAAGTTATTAACCAGCACGATGTGTCTTCCCCAATTCATCCATTAGTCAATTCTATACCAACAATTCAGTGATAGTGCATGTGGGAGGTACCAAAACTTGGTGCCATTATCATAACTAAGCTACAGTAAACTGATGGCATCTGCTAATAACAACGGCACCTTCATGTGTGTATCCTTGTCATCCAACGGTTGGAGATGCACAGGAACAGGTAAATTCTTCATCTTGTCACTAGGACTACCGTTTGTGATCTGGGCGGGGAAAAAAAAACATGTGATTGCTCTACTGTACCTGCAAAATAGCTAATTTTCTAATAATAGTATTTGATATAATAATCCTTGCATTTGATATAGCGCCTTATCACGTCTTCTAGATGTCTCAAAGCACTTCACAGAATATACTGTAAAGTGAATTGACTGTATATTTGTGGGCGAAACACGGCAGCCAATTGCACACAGCAGTGTCCCACAAACAGTTGTGGATTGAGTGACCAAATTGTTATTGCTTTTTTTTCTTGAGGGATTATTATCAGGCATGTGGAGTAAGGAAACTTGCCCAAGGATTCCCCTGCCAGGAATCGAACCCAGGTCTCTCGCTCGCAAGGCGAGTGCACTAACCACTGAGCTACAGGACTCCACGATATAGCGCCTTATCACATACAGGTGGAGTCCTGTAGCTCAGTGGTTAGAGCACTCGCTTTGTAAGTGAGAGACCTGGGTTCAATTCCAGACAGGGCGAAACCTTGGGCAAGTTTCCTTACTCCACACCCCTAATAATAATCCCTCCAAAACCAAAAACAATAATAAATTGGTCATTTTCAATCTACGACTGTTTGTGGGACATTGCTGTGCGCAATTGGCTGCCGCGTTCGCCCACAGATATACAGTCAATTCACTTTACAGTGTGTTCTGTGAAGCGCTTTGGGACGTCCTCCCGACGTGAAAAGCGCTATATCAAATGCAAGGATTATTATTATTATTATCTCTGAGACGTCTCAAGCGCTTCACAGAATATACTGTAAAGTGAATGGACTGTATGTTGTGGGCTAAATCACTAAATGCGCTGTTGAAGATGAGAATTGAAAAATTTCAGTTGTTTTTTGCCCAAACCCATCACTGTTTTCACACTAGCCACCTCTTCAGCCAAGGGACAATCAAGTCTGTTTCCTCCTCATGGCAGCACTGTGGAGATTGCAACCTCATGTGCCAGACGTGCCCTAGAAACACTATCTACATAATGACGAAGGATGATGCAGCTTCTAAATGAAAGGTCTGGAAACCAATTTAGTAAAGTACTAACCTGTGATCCTTCATAGGATATAATTACCGTTAGCTTGCATAAAGACAGGTTAAAATAACAACTCATAGCATTTGATGTAGCATCTATAACATTAAAATGCCTCAGGTGTTTCACAGGGAATTGTTGTTAAGTGTAGTGACTGTATTTGTAGGCAAACTTAGCAGCCATTTTGCACACAGCGAATCCCACAAACAACTGTGAAGCAATTTGGGTAAATGTGAGAACTCACACACTATTAACACTCGACAAAAGCACAACATAAATAATGGGTTTTCTTCACTTCCTGATCACAAAGCCACCATGTGAGATGAGATAATAATAATCCTTGCATTTGATATAGCATTTATGTCTTCAAGACGTCTGAAAGATAAATGGTAAACATTTGCAAGATGTACCTGCTTAAATTTGGGAGGCAGACTCCAGCCATAGGCCTGTATGCGTCCATCCTCTTTCTGTACATGTGCCTTGACCTGCCGGTACTGCTCCCGCTTCTGCTCCCTGCGTGAGGCTGACGTGTTCTCATTGCTACCAGTACACAAGACAAATAATGTCAACCAGGATCAGACTTTTTAAAGCTTCCACAAATAGCTTCATAACCCTCAAAAATGCCTTCATTACAACCAGGCTCGACTATTCCAATGCCCTGCTTATCAGCCTCCCCGACTCTTCCCACCACAAGCTGCAGATCATCCAGAACTCTGCAGCTCATGTCCTCTCCTGCACCAGGCTCCGTGACCCCATCACCCCCACCCTCGCCCGACTCCACTGGCTCCCCATCCCTCAGAGGATAAAATTCAAAATATTTGGCCTCATCTTCAAGGCCTTCTATGGCCTTGCCCCCTCCTACCTATCCGACCTCTTAACCCCCTTATCATCCTGTCCACTCCATCCACTTAGCAAGCTCCAGCCTGCTCCATGTCCACCGCCCGGCCCACTCCACTATCAGCGGCTGGGCCTTCAGCCTCTCTGCCCGCACTCTCTGGAACTCAATCCCACAATCTTTGCCCCGTGCTCTCCCTTGCCTCCTTCAAGGCACACCTCAAGACCCTCCTCTTTGACCGTGCCTACGGCCACCCTACCTGATCCCAAGCAGTCCCTCCCGGGTCCTAATTCCTGACCGTCCAGTGCATTGGGATATCCTCCCAAAGTGAAAGGCGCTTTACAAATATAATTTTTGTATTGCTCTTTAAAACTGCTACTTTTTTTTTACCATTTACACTTTCACTTGATCATGCTCGTGGACGATTTGCGGTAATAGTTATACTCATGGACATGAGCTGTGACCCCAGCATGGAGGGAAATAGCATCTCTGAAATAGCTACCTGTTTAACCCTACTCCCATAATTTTTCCACATTCCCATTTATATTTCCTCATTTCAAATATTTGTCCAACTCTCTTTTGTTGGAGTTTTGCTTCAAAACAATTTTTGGAAAAGGAATTCCATGTCTTAATAACCCTCTGGGTCAAAATATTTCTCCTGTTCTTGCCCTTCATTGTTTAGTGAGGATCTGAAATGTATGCCTATCTGGGGCAGCCTGCTTTGCACACCTACCACACCCTTATGACTGTAACACTTACTCTTCATTGAGAAAATCGAAGGCCTTTGACTTATCACTGGGAAGCTGGGATATTGGACCACTTCGTTTCTTCACTGCTCCAGGTGTGATGTGTGAGGTGGGTGCATTGTACTTGACATTGACGGGTGGGATGGGTTTCTTGGTTGTATTGGTGGATGAACTGAACAGCCGACTAAAACTGGAGAAGAAATAAAAATCAAATAATTGACACAAGGGAGGAACAGTTCACTGAAGGATCATGCGGATAAGACCATTCCCAAAGCACAGACAACAGGGCATGAAGACTACCGTGAAGAATCCAGTCTATATGGTTTCTCTGCATTCTCTCACTCAGACATGCAGATAAAACAATCGCTGGTTCATTTGGCCTGATTTTATAGATTTCATTGCCTCAGCACAAAGCCCTGACTTTTTAAACTGTCGTATCATCAGGTACTACGGCGCAGAGTAGCAGCATCTTAATCTGATTTTAAAAGACCTTACACAACTCCAGAAATCAGAATGACAATTAAGGGCAATCGGCAGCAGTGAAATGCGGCAGCGAATTCAATGTTGGCACTGAGCCAATATGTCCATTCCTCGCTACTCTTTACAGCTGTGTCTCACTCAAGAGACAGTTATTTCATAGCATTTGACAAAATAATGTTCTGACTGGACAGCACCTTGCTGCTCTCCCACAGAAGAGTGGAATTGTGCAGTGAACACAACCCCCTTGCCAAAGCGTAGCCTGGGGGGGGGTGGTTAAGATAATTCACTGTATAACCTTCAACACTTCCTGCCATCAATGCACGTCAGACTTTTCTGCAGCAACATGTATAAAATGTGGCCTAATGCTCCAGTGATAGACAGCACAAGCCTCAAACCTGCTCTTTACTCAATCAAACATTCACCTTAGAAACATGCTTTATGAAGAGTCAAAAGGCAGTCAGGGAGACAACTTCGAAACTTTAAAACAGTTCTGTCTGTATCATTTCCATGAAACACCCTGCAGTCCCCAGCAAACAATCTCAGATGAAGATTGGGTTAGCTGCACCACACCTAGCACACCAGACACAAAACTGCCAAGTGCAGGCTATTATTAAATAGACAGCATTACAAACAGTCAGCAAAAGTTTTACCCACATTCTGCTGGTGAATAACATGGAATATGAAAAAATAAAAGTATGAATTAACATGAATCACACTAAATGACAGGTAACTAATTAATTGAGTGACAAACGCTGAAACAGAGTTGCTAACTGCAGATCCTGTGGGAAATTGTCCTTCAAATCCCAGTGTCTTATCGCTGTTTGGCAAAAAATGTCTATATTCCTGGAATTGGTTTGTGTGTAATAGGTAGCAACCTGGATGGAGGCACCATTAGAGGGAGGTGATCAGCAACTAGACACTGCTGGTGCCTGGAAGCTGGTTCCATCAAGAAACTGCACTTCCCACCGAGCAAGTGTCAAACCACCTGCCCTTCAGATTCCCACTTCAGTGAGTACCACTGTCCTCCTTCCTCATGCACGGAGTGCCAGGGGCCAACCTGCCTGAGGGAGCTGCACAGGTGCACAGGGCAGCCTCAACAACGTGAGCTTTATGAATAAATCCTTCCCATCCCTCTTCCTTCAAGCTGCACATTTTGGCATCTCTGCTGCTAGTACAGTTATGAGAGTAAATGATTGACTTACAACTGCCAGATGGTGGATTTCTTCTTCTCCTGCATGGCTGGACTTTCCCTCGAAGCGCTAATCAGAAAAACGAAGATAAAAAGACATTGCTCAAACTCTGATCAGATCCGAATGGCAAACTAAAACCATTCACATTGCGAGTCAGCAAAGGGTTCCCACCGGATCATCTCAGTCCATCGCACAGCTTCCTGAAGCTCCATCAGACGCTCTTTGTACTGGTTACGTTCCATAAGCACTCGAGCCATCTCCACACGAGTGAAGCGCTTCCTCTGAGCAGTAGGGACATCGCTCTGTAACAAGAGATGATCTTTGCATTTCAGAGGTTGAAGAGGTTTGATTATTTTAACCCAGAACTAATTTCTGAAAAGGGCTCTGGTCAGTAGCTTCTAAGGAAACATATTACATGTACAACACAGTTTAGCACAAGGCAGCTCAACTCATTACCTCATCAGAATCCTCTTTAGCTTTCCGCTTTGCTTCTTCAGTTTCTGTACGGAGCCTGGAAGAATGAACAAAATGTGTTGAAAGGTGCTGTCATTAAGACTAAAACCCATGCACACAATTATTCATGAAATTGAATTATACAGTGCATACCATGTCCGGCTCTAGGCAGGCCACGTGAAGTGGGTCTTTGTAAGAACCAGCAGCCCAGACATGCATCTACCTAAAGCCTGCAGCATAGGGACAGTGATATGAAAAGTGTAGAATCTTACTTCCTCAGCTCTTCCTCCAACTCTTTATTCTTCTCTTCCAATTTCTGTTTGGCTTGTCTGATGGACTCCAACTCTCCCTGCAGCACATCTTTCTCACACGTCAGTTCATCCACCTGTGCTATCAGATCGTTTTTCACCACATTCAGAGCATTTCTGAACAGAGCAACAAGTTAAAATGAAAGTCACCTTTAGTAAGCTAAACTACAACCAAAAAGTCAAACTGTCCACAATGTTCAGTTCCAGGTGCACAATTTAAGACAGGATAGGTAACACTGAGTGAAACTTACTTGGTCTCTAGCAGCTGCGTGTTTTCCTGAATAAGATTCTCAACCTCACGACCCATACCTATCAATAAATCACACAGACATTAGTGTGACGCAAATTCAGACTCAACACAGTGCAACCCACTCTCCATATCACCATGCTGTCATGGTGGTAAGTGGCACATTGGAGTGACTACAATTTCAATATACGAAAATTAGCATGAAGTCTTTGGCGGTCAAACAATGCAGAAGCAAATCAGCCAATGCAAGGACTAAGTTCTGGTCAACAATAGGAGAAAGGCTCAAAAGCAGCTGATGGAGATGGTTTGGAAGTTGGGAAAAAAGGTAGATAGCAGATGAGAAAAGCAGGGAGTGGAGGAAGCTCACAGCACACGGGCAGGAACACAGATGGACCAAAAAAAAAAAAATGTTAGTGTCTGGTGGATCAGAAACCTGAGGAAAAGGTCTCAACCCTCCTCTCCACGCAATGTTAAAGAATGATGTCCAATGCCCACCCTCTTATTACAGCTAATTTCTAGTGTGAGTTTATATACGCAACAATGGCTAAATATATTTATATAAAGAAAATTAAGAATATTAAAATGAAGTTCTTAAGAGTAGATGGAGTCTTACCAAATAAATTATGGTCTGAGAACCCATGCATCCCACGTGAGGCAGAAAGGAAGGAAACATTCTGTAAGATGCAGGGTGAGAAGCAGCAGCACACACAAGCTGAGGTACCGTGGCAATAGTGAGAGCGGCAAAGCCGAGCTGGGAACCACACGCGTCCAACCAAAGTGCACAGGGCACCGACAATCCCATTTCACACAATGATCAGAATACCAGTGGCAAACTGGCCATTTACCTACAGATAGCCATATTTTAGCAAGTTATTAAAAATGAAGGATTAGAACAAATCTGTTCAGATGATGAAGGAAATAGCAGTGGCTATGAAGAACACTGTGACAAAAAACTTAGATGCACAAATCTCATTATTGTTGGCTCTAACAAACTAGGACCCTTAAATACCAAACGATAATCTGGGCCAATAGAAAAATTCTTTTGAAAAGTTAGTCATTAATTGTTTTTTTCAACAATCTAATATGTCTGTTTAGTTTTTATCAATAAAGTGAAAAAATGTAGTTTGGCAGTAAAATATAACTCAATAGCACCAATCAACATCCTGCAATTTTGGGCAAATATGTCTGCACTTTTCTATTGGCCCAGATCATAAGTCATGCTCTGGACTCTAACCTCAACTTCCTCAAGATTGTAACAGCTCAGAACAATGCCCTTCACTATCTCCACCCAGAACCACCCCACAGCCTGAACTGCCAGAACAAGTGTCATGGCCTTTAGCTAAGCACAGTGTAAGTTATACAATTACACATAAAGTAGGAATGGGAAGTACAGAAGGTGAAAATATACACACCAGAAAACTCCCCTGGGTTAGCAGCCCAAGAGGAAAGGAAGCATGGGGGGAAAAAAAGGGCCAATTAGCTTTGACAGTGATTCATCAGTGCATATGGTAGACTAACAGCAACAGACATGAAGACGGGAGCAAGAAGCTACTCATCTGCATCTCAAACAGCCGAAACAGGCTGGTTCCAAGACAGGAAAAGCACAAGGGGTCAGTAATGGAACAAAGAGCATGCACAGGATGGAACAAAGGGTGGGCCTTGTGATGAGCTGCATTGTAAGCACAAAGTTCTTGCCACACACAAAAGGTATGTGTGTACTCTGGACCTCGCTGGCAGCTCACCTTGTGCAGCTGAAGAAGCACTGGCCATTAATAATAGTTAGCACAGGCCATTAGTAATACAGGTAGCACAGGCTGCTTTGTAGGGCTTTAAGAAACTTAGATATTTTTCAAAAAAACTTTTGAAGTTTTGGGAACAACGGTGGAAGAAAAGGCACACTAAATATCTTAGCTGCTGTTGGAATCTTGTCATCTTCCAATGGGGTTGGGGATGTCAAATCTGCAAGACTAATATCTTCTCACTCTGTCCAGATTGAGCACAACTCCAATTTCCTTACAGCCCTACATACATAGTTTGATGTTTAAAAAGACTGGGGCACTGGCTTCTGAACCTTCAATTTAATTTCAGATTTCCCTCAATCATTTGTGATATATCTCTGCTGGCAATCTGTCCTTCCTACAATCAGATTGCCCTCAGCAGTGAGGGCAGCACACTGTATGTGAAGACAAACATAACAATTTTGGCAATGTCACTAAATATTACAACCTGAACTCTGCTGACCAAAATGGTTTTGATGCGTTGAGCCATTGACCCAGTCCTAATGTTAATTTTATTACTGAGACCAACATAAACAAAAAAATTACATTGGTAAAGCGCCTCTCGGATCCAGAGGACATCCCAAGGCCCTGGACAAAGTTTCGGACCTGAGCTGTGGGTCAGAGAGGGTGGAGGGCAGGGTGGGGAAGCAGTGAGATTGAAAGCATGGTCGAAGAGTTGGGTCTTCAAAGTGGCAAGGGAGGGGCGAGGCGGAGGGACTGCGGGATGGAGTTCCAGAGGGTAGGGGCAGAGTGGCAGAAGGCCCTTCCTCCAATAGTGGGGCGAGCAAGGGCGGGTGCCCGCTGAGTTGATGGAGCGAGCAGGATGGTAGGGATTTAGGAGATCGCAGAGGGGGGAGCAAGACAATGGAGGGCTTTGAAAGTGAGGAGGGAGCCTATGGAGGGAAGAGTTGGGGAGGCCGACAAGCAATGAGTTTGGATAGTCAAGCCTCGACCCCACAGTCGACACAGACAAATAGATAGTACAGATCTCAATGCATCAGACTCCACTCCCACCTTCCATTTTCCATTAACTCAGACACAGTGTTGGTGTGCTGTTCAACCATGAAGACATCAAAGCCAAAGCTGATGCTGTCTCACCCAAACTCCAAAGACATACTTTCCAGCAGGGAGTTGGAGAGTGATTCCTATGTCACAGGAGCTCAGCCACCGCCGAGATCACTAACTCAGCATAAACAAAGATGTATCTTACTCTGGTCTGTAAGGCTCAGTACTGCACTGGCTGCCATGTTGTATCAATGGTGGGGGGCGGGGAGGAAAGAGAAAGAGCTGGAACAGGCAGGTATAACCCACGTATTATGTAAAGCACAAATTACTGCAAAAAAATGAGTTTTGCTCAGTGTGTCGGCACTCATACCTGAGCACTAAAATATTTACAGCTTTATCCAAAGATACAGTCACAGGACAGAGTTCTCCGTGTCATTACTAACAGCAATAATACATCTCTCTACAGGAGGGAATCAAGAAGCTGCAGCAGCAGCCTGAAGTACAAAAAGTAACTTGGTTTTGAATAGTTTATAGATATCTGACGGGCAGACAACTGTGCGTTGTTATCAGGAGGCATGTGTTGGGGAGGCTGAGTTACTGCAGACTCAACTCAACATTAAGCCAATTAATAATGGTATTATTAGGGCTTCGTTTTTCAGTGTTTATTAATTTTATTTTTCAGTTTATTTTTTAAGCAAGTTTAGAATTCTATTAGATATCCAAATATCAGCCGACAAAATATACAATCAATTCACTTTACGGTATATTTTGTGAAGCACTTTGAGACGTCGCGAAGACATGATAAGACACTATATGAAATGCAAGGATTATTTTTATTATTATCAGGGTTTTTCAGGGCTTTGGAATGCAGGAGGGGCACTATATGAATGCAAGGTGTTGTTATAATACACTATAATGAGCAGGTTTTTGAATACATTTCTCCAGATATGCCTTCACATAAGGAGGGGACAGAGGCGCCCTCATAAACGTAGTGTCTCCCTCCTCTCATACACACACACACACACACACTCACAGAGGAGAGGGAGAGACGGAGAGCGACAGTAAGATATGTGCTGTTGGTACACCAGGGCACTGGGGAGAGTGAGCAACAGAGAATAAACCTCACGTGACTATACATTTTTGGTGTTTTTCCAGTGTTTATTGGATAAACACCAGCTTTATTTTAAAAAATCAGTGTTTATCCTGTGGGCATTTATTCAGCGTTTAGGGGTTAAAATGGAGAACAACAACAACAACTCGGACTTATATAGCGCCCTCCATGCCGGACGGTATCTCAGAGCGCTTTACAGTAATGGATCCTGGCGCCGGGGGAGAGGGAGGAAGGTGCCTAAAGGTGTGGTCGAAGAAAAAGGTCTTCAGCAGAGACCTGAAAACAGGAAGAGAGGGAGCGAGGCCAAGGGAGTGAGGAAGAGAATTCCAGAGCCTCAGGGTGTAGTGGCTGAAGGCACGGCTGCCGAGGGTAGAGTGGAGGACTCGGGGGACAAGGAGGCGGCCAGACCCGGAATCAGAAGCCCGAAGTATAATTGAAAGCAATCCTCACATATGCAGTACTTGTGCTCAGAAGAGAATCCCATCAAAAGGATGATATTTGTGAGAGAAAATGCTGTCAAATAGCTTCACTGTGTTAAGTTTCCTGAAGGGATACAGAAATGTAACTCAAAGCTAAGCGATTCTAATTATTTTGTCTTTTTTCACTGTAGCTCAGCTATGCGTTTTACTGAGGAGTAAACAGGCCCCTCACCCTCCCGAGCCTTGGTCTCTGCAGCTCGTGTACTGTCCCGCACCAGGCTTCGGGACCACATCACTCCCACCCTCGCCCTCACTCCCACCCTCACCTTCGCCCTCACCCTCGCTCGGCTCCACTGGCTCCCCATCCCTCAGAGGATTGATTTCAAGATCCTCATCCTCACCTACAAGGCCATTCACAGCCTCGCTCACTCCTACCTCTCCAACCTACTATCCCCCTACCTACCTGCCCGTACCCTCCGTTCCTCCGGCTCCGGTCTGCTCCACGTCCCCCGCCCCAATCGCCCTACCATCGGTGGTCGGGCCTTCAGCCTCTCAGCCCCTAGGCTCTGGAACTCTATCCCCCAGTGCCTTCGCCGCCTCCTCCCTCTCCTCCTTCAAGGCCGGTCTCAAAACCTTTCTCTTTGACCGAGCCTTCAGCTCCCCTCTCGACTCTCTTCCCCCTTCTCGCTCCCTCCCTTCTCTCCCCTCACCCTGACCATTTCCCCCCTCCTCGCTCCCTCCCTTCCCTCCCCTCACCCTGACCATTTCCCCCCTGCTCGGGTCATGACCCAACTGTGCAGCGCCTTGGGACGTCCTCCTGACGTGAAAGGCGCTTTATAAATGGAATCTTGTTGTTGTTGTTGGTCAGTGCCACTGCACTCCACTGGCCATCTAAGGGTCTCAGGTGTATAGAAGAGCTAATCTCTGTTTAACTCCTCACCCAAGACTGAGGCTAAAAGTAGCATAGAGCATACCAACCTGTGTTACTATCAGTCTGGGAGAACCATTGCACACCGGCACCACTGTAACATTAAAGAAATACACAGGACCAACCGCGGATAACTGGACTTGCAACAACCTCACTATATCTAGCTAAAACAGAACTTCACAAGAATTGCAAGCTCAGGTGTAAAATTCTGCTTTAATTTGAGACTCAAATGTTCTGTGCTCCGTGCTTCTCACACTGGTTGGCAGTATAGGTGCTATCTCAACAGTGGGAGCTCATAATGAGCTTCCCAGGGCAGGACAACAAACAGCGTTTCATCAGTCATTCTCATCCCAGCCTTAATTTGGAAGCAAACAATCTGTAAATTATCAAACATCTAAATAAGCCAGCACTGCACCATCAAATTTAAATTTGCCACTGTACCTTTAAACCAGTGATACTGCACCTTTAAAATATTATAAAAATGTAAAAATAATCCTTGCATTTGATAAAGCACTTTCCATGTCTTCGAGACGTTCAAAGCGCTTCACAGAACATACTGTAAAGTGAATTGACTGTATATTTGTGGCCGAAACACAGCAGCCAATTGCGCACAGCAATGTCCCACAAACAGTCCTCTCCGTTAAACACTTCAACCGTGCACCATTCCTCTTTGAGCTTACTTACCCAACAAATTTGCCCCCTCATCCACATCACCTATCAGCTCAGAAGCAGATTGGGACAGTTCATCAAAAATGGACTCAGTGTTCCGACTGAACGCTTTGTTCTCAATTCCTTTGGTTGGTGTGCTGCAAAAAACAAATTACAATTTGGTGAAGGGCTTGAACAAAGTCATCTGGAGACTCCAACTCACACTTCTCTTTGACCGAGCCTTCAGCTCCCCTCTCGACTCTCTTCCCCCTCCTCGCTCCCTCCCTTCCCTCCCCTTACCCTGACCATTTCCCCCCTCCTCGCTCCCTCCCTTCCCTCCCCTCACCCTGACCATTTCCCCCCTGCTCGGGTCATGACCCAACTGTGCAGCGCCTTGGGACGTCCTCCTGACGTGAAAGGCGCTTTATAAATGGAATCTTGTTGTTGTTGTTAGCTGCACTCCTGGCAGTGACATGTCAAAAACTAGCTGGCTGATTAGTTTATATAATACACAAAGGATAGAGAATGTACAACAGGTCTAGTCATATGCCTTTGGTCTCTCCCAGTTCTCCAATGCTTCGCTCCAATCACCCATACTGACCTGATTCTACACTATAACTTATTTCACAGCAAATCAGGACTAACATTAAAAATAAAGCAGCAAATAAGAAAACGCAAACAGCATTTCCTCGTAGCTAGCTGCACATTGTATTGAACACAACCTTCTATAGAATGCTGTCCCAGTGAAGGTGGATAGGCAATAGATTTAGGAGAATCCACACTAACCTGGCTCCTTTACACCCACTGAAGTCTTGGTCCATATCCAATTCCGGCGTGGAATCAATAATGGCTTGAACATCTGATTTGTCTTCATTTTCAGTCATACCTTCAACACCAATAATTCCAAGTTTTTATATAACCAAACTACATTACAGGATAGCATCCTACTTTTTGTGTTTCACGACTGTTTGTGGGACACTGCTGAGTTCTATTGGCATCTGTGTTTCGCCCACAAAATATACAGTCAAATTCACTTTACAGTATACTCTGAAATGCTTTGAGATGTCTTGAAGACACAATAAGGCAAGGATTATTATTAAGAGAAATGTTGATGTGAGCTTATAAAATCACTAATGTTAACCAGTTTCAGAACTCTGCAGCTCGTGTACTGTCCCGCACCAGGCTTCGCGACCACATCACTCCCACCCTCGCTCGCCCCCACTGGCTCCCCATCCCCCAGAGGATCAAATTCAAGATCCTCATCCTCACCTACAAGGCCATTCACGGCTTTGCTCCCTCCTACCTCTCTGACCTACTATCCCCCTACCTACCTGCCTGTACCCTCCGTTCCTCTGCCTCCGGTCTGCTCCACATCCCCCGCCCCAACCGCCCTACCATCGGTGGCCGGGCCTTCAGCCTCTCAGCCCCGAGGCTCTGGAACTCTATCCCCCAGTGCCTTCGCCGCTTCCTCCCTCTCCTCCTTCAAGGCCGGTCTCAAGACCTTTCTCTTTGACCGTGCCTTTAGCTCCCCTCTCGACTCTCTGCCCCCTCCTTGCTCCCTCCCTTCCCTCCCCTCACCCTGACCATTTCCTCCCTGCTCGGGTCCTGACCCAACTGTACAGCGCCTTGAGACGTCCTCCCGACGTGAAAGGCGCTCTATAAATGTTATTGTTGTTTTTTAAAGCTTCCCACATATAACCTGGAAACTCAATCAGGAAACTTCAATGGGAAGAACCTGGTGCACAGATCAGGAGAGTGGCCAATGTGCAGCAACTGCTTCCCTGGCCAATGGATGCCAACCTCTCATACAAGGTAGCAACGTACAGGGTCATGAAAGACCCTGAAGTTCATATGCCAGATCCCAAAATAAATCACCTTTTCTCAGTTAAACATAACTTGCTTTTTCCCTTATTTGTGATCAGGCGTCAAGCAGAAAGACCAATTCATTTGCAGAATCAGTCTCACCTGGCAAAAAGAATACTGAGTAAACCACTTATTGCCTTAGCAGCTTCCCAGACACCTCGTTTGAGGATAACGAAAGCTTGCTACTTACCAACAGCTAAAGTTCTGGTCTCCTGTTGCACCTGCACGTCAATGTTCCTCTTGTTGTCTGGTTTCTTACTCGCCATATTCAGGTTTTTGGTCAGGCCTTCAGCCTCCATGCTCTCCTTTCTCGGAGTGACCGAACCTGCTATGCCTTCCTCCAGAGCCATTGGGGTGTTGGGCTTTGTTCCCACTGAGCTGGATGGCTGACTCGCATCCGAGAGCTCATCCTAGGAGATGAATGACCTTCATTAAAACCCTGATCGTCACAGAATCAAAAAAGTTATATTACCCATACAATAACTCTATAAAGTTAAAGGGCTGTGGTAAATCCCAGCTACCTGAAAACAAAAGCCAATTTGTCTGGGTTTTCTAACCAGGAAGGTATTAAAGTGCACGGATGTGAAATGTCAAGCACAGTAAAAGCTCAGGGTCTGTATCAGAGTTATTGACAGATGATGCAGGTCATAGTAAAGAGTTCAGTCATATGGAGAGTTATCCTGAGCTACATCAGAGCATCCTGCAGCACGAGCTCAGTACAAGTGCCAGTCTTGTCATTGCAAATTAACATCCAAATACATCTAAAGCTCAGTCCTAGTATCAAATATCAATAGCAGATTTACATGTGAAAAGTCCAGTGACTTCAATCCTACTTGCAATACTCTACAACCTACTTTCATGCCCTGGTGATTTTCTGTGCTGCACTTTGCAATACTCATTCAATTATCATTGGTTATTATTAGTTATTAATCATCCATGTTCTGTCCTCTTGCCATTCCCCTCATGGTGGATAGGCTTACAGTGAAGACACTTCAGGGTGAGATTTACCGGCCAAGTCATCCAAAGCCAGAACTGCAACTACGTTTCTTGGCAGACTCGTCTCGGGGGAAGGCCTATATAGGCAGAGATGTAAAAACACATGATGTACCACACCAACAGAAGAAGCAAGCCTGGGGAGAAACATTGGAGGAGGTAAACTAGATTCACCTTTGAAAGTGGTATCTCCACCTCCTGAGGTGCAGTGCTGCCTTCACAGCATTGCTAGCAGCAGCTAGCTGCAAGGATAAGCAATGCTATGTTCATAGTTCGCCACAAACACAACTGTTCAGGCCTTGGCTCCATCAAATGACATTAACAAATAGCTTTATTAAGAGAGAAATGATCCACTACCTTTCTCATTCCAGGATTCTGAACAAAAGATGTTGGAAGATTAGAAACCATGATAGTGGGTTCTTCTCTGGTCACTCAGCTGCAGATGGGTTAGACAGCTTAATAAAGACTCCACACTGGTAACAGCCGGTGAAAGCAATCTCCAATTCTGACTCCGCTAAAAACTGAACAATTTACTATTTTGAGATTCACATTAGCAAAATAATTCTTTCAGATCGATCCTTTCCCTTCCTTCTTTATCTCATACTTGGCATCCTGTTTTAATACTCCATTTTGCAAGCTCTTTAATCACATCAAAAATCTATTTTTCTGCTTGTTTTTCCTCCAAATGAATTAACTTTTTACTGAGTGAATAAATAATTCCGAGGAGTTGAATAAAGGTCCAAACTCTTCTCTCCCCACCCCCACAACTTCAGTCATTCTAAACCTCAGACCTTCATTATAAAGTCTAATGATGGAAAACTCATTCCCAGATCGCTCCCCTCAGAACTGGACTCATTACTCTCCTTGTGAATGAATGGAGTGACACAAAGCAATACTGCAGAGGCCTGCCAGTATCCCAGACAACGAGCATGGTGGGGCATAGCACGCTGACATATAGTTCTCAGCCATAATTCCACACAGCTCTGCAAACTCAGCTGTGCCAACCGGAGGGATGTGCCAAGTTGGGGGCAGGCACATCCCAACAAGGAAACAGGGAAAGTCAGAAATGAATTGCTTAGATGTAAGCAGGAAACGTAACAATGTAGGTTATTTAGGTTGCAATTTTCAAATATTCTTTCCCTCTTTCCTCCTCTCCACAGGAAAGTGAAGTGCTTTCACCTGCTATTATTTGATGGGAAGAAAACTGAATGTATAATTCTGTAACCTAGTCCTGCAACCTAGAACTTCAGCCACATTCTACACAGATTCCAGTGCAACGAATTTCTTAACCAAATAGTAATGTACTCAAACGGAGCGGAGAGCAAAACATTCACTGTCAAAATATATTCACTGTCCATTCTGAACAATAGCATGGTAGGAGTGGGAAGTTTCACAAGAAACAGTGACAATTCCCAGGATGTTTTTCTTAGCTAGTATATAGAGGGAAGAATAAAACACACCAACTGCAAACTGACATTTCCTGTTGCAGACATTTCAAAACTGGACAAGCAATCAGCTGTATGGTGAGTGCTGGATAGAATGCTATGCAGTGAAACCGGGTGTCAGCTGTGCTGCTTGCCAGCACCCGCCTGGGTTAACGCTGATCAGTCAATGACAGCATTGTTCCCAGCAGCATTGAATAGGTGTCTCCATTCTAAACAGTGTTTAGCAACAGAACAGCATTCAAGTGAAGAGAGCAGCAGAACAGATGGAAGCAGAACTGCAGGAATCAAAGGCTTTTTTGTTTGGAATCTCATTTCAGTGAGACGACGCTCTCTTCTGGGGAAATATTATATTTTCTCTTATGTTTAGTTATTCTAGAAAGAAAAGCACTTCAGCCCCAAGTTTCAAACTATTTATCAAAGCATAAATCAAACTGGCAGTTTTGCAACAGAACTTCTCCTCCTAGTTTTGATTGGTTCCTTTCAGCCACAGAACAGCCCGAACATCTCCTGAGTTCTTGCTCGAAGACCACCCAGTATAATGAGCCTTTTTTTAAACTTAGTAAATTCAACAGGATGGAAGAAAAGATTTTCCATGAAATAGTGACATTCAGCCCAGCAGGGAGGACATGGCCAAATGCAGGCTGAGCAAACATGGAAGCAGAATGAAGAGAAGAGAGACTTAACAATCAAAAGGCAAAACAGCAAACCTTTTAGGTGAGAGAGAGGAGAAAGTAAAGCAAAGTATCTCAGTTGAATCACCAGCAACGAGGCTGAGGCCTGTGCAATAATCACGACGTCGAAGTTACCAGCACTGAGTGAGTCACAACAACATCCCATACACCAACCTCCTCTACAGCAGATAATGCTTACACTCCATGATGAGAAGTCAAATTTGAAACTGTCATACCACTCAGTGACTAGATCATGGTATATCCTCCAATCAGCAATTGTGCAAAACTCAGCAGCAGTTATCTGGATTGTTGCTGGAAAACACATTGCCTGTCAGCAGTGTGTGACAGCTGCTGTCCTCATGGAAATGACAGTGGAAGCATAGGTTAGCAGCATGGCACAGGGAGATCAAGTCAACCTGGACCACTGGTTTACTGGAAATTAACAGCACCATACAGGCTTAAAACACTCAATACTTTCTCTCAAGTACTGTAACCATCAACGCTACGTGCCAGGAGAATGATCAAATGTGAAACAGGTTGTATTTAGCTGGGTGCTATTTATTAGATAAAGAATTTTTTAAAACTGACACCAGAATTTACATTTTACATCTAGGTAGCAAAAAGCTATTCAGTCGCTGATCAATGCAATTGTCTCTCCTTTATAAACTCATTTGTAGGAATCATAGAAGGAGCCAGTCATCCATCAAGCCTGTTCCACAATTTTGTTAGACCACAGCAGATCTCGCAATCTTAGTTCCTGCTTTTTCTTCATTAACGCTTTTGTTTCCCTAATACCCCAAATTCAGATGGAATTGCACAGTATTTGCATTGTTTCCATAAGTATCTTTAAGTTTCATTGCTTATTTTCTGACCTTACCTTTAGGCTTGTGGTGGATCGAGGTTGGCAGTTGAACCTCCAGTTTTCGGTGCCGGGTGTTTCTGCTCCTTCTTTCTGTGCATCAGGCGTACGAAGAACATCTCCTCCAGGCAATAGGAAAGGACCCAAGGAATGGGGCCTTTCTTTCCTGTTTACATTGGATCAAAGCACTTTTATATTTAGTTGGGTGATACTTACAAAACAGGTAAAACTTACATTAGTAGTTATTCTTGCATTTGATAGTGCTTTTCACGTCTTCTAGACGTCTCAAAGCACTTCACAGAATATACTGTAAAGTGAATTGACTGCATATTTGTGGGCAAAACGCAGTAGTCAATTGCGCACAGCAGCGTCCCACAAACAGTCGTGGATTGAGTGACCAAATTATTATTTTTTTTTCTTGAGGGATTATTATCAGGCATGTGGAGCAAGGAAATGTGCCCAAGGTTTCGCCCTGACCAGCTGGGAATCGAACCCAGGTCTCTCGCTTGCGAGGCCACAGGACTCCACTCATCTCTTCTTAGCCCCCAAAGTGGGGGATTGGGAATAGGATGCTAACAGGGAGGGAGAGAGAATAAAACAGTCACCATTTGGCTAGTGAGGAACAGTAGCTAATCCAAAGCCACTCCCAAGTTCACGTTCACTAAGATGGGCTAAGAGCCCAGGTCAGTTTGCTGGTTTCCAGCAGTTGCACTACAGTGAGAAGAAAATGGTTACACTGGATATCTTAGTTTGAGCATTCAGCAGCACTTCAGCCACCTTCAGTGCCAATAGAGCCAATGAACTGATTACTAGGTATTGGTAGTAACTGGGATAAAAGAGTCCAGCTCAGTCACGCTCAATACAGAAACACTTACAAACTTTAATGAACTCAAAAACTTCATTAGCTGTAAAACCAGCTGCAATTTAATTTTGTTTTAAGAGATTAAACCAGAGAGGTTATCTATTGAAAAAGATAGAGGAAGCGTATAACATGAAATTAGGAATTGTTGAGATTTTTAAAAAAGTCTCAAGACTACGAAAGCCATATTCTGTTATTTTGTGGAGTATTTCACAATCAAACAGCATGTCAGGACACATTTCATTATTAAAGAGCCAAAGGGGAGCTAAACTAGAGGTCGCACAGTTAATTTGGTACTAGCTATTATTAGTACAGCCACTGCCAAGTGAAATCTATGGCTGAGCTGTTTGTCAGATTTAGCCACAATAAAAATGAGACTGAAGAGCTCAGTCTGACCCTCAAGCACTTCAGCTTGTTGATCAAAGCACTATATACTATTGTAAATGCTTTCTCCACCCTCAACCAGTGAGGACAGACAGCAAAACTTCTTAAAAATTACACCAAATCTTCTCACCCTATCCGAACTCTACAGCATTGAATCCTGTCCCACTCCACCAGCATTCCATCTCATTCTACATCACCCAATCCATTCTAAAACAATCCTTTCCACCACAATGCATTAAATGCATAGTATCCCACCCAACATCATAGCACCCAATCTAAAGTACAGATACTTTTGTTCTGAAAACTCTCCGTGCCTTCCTGAAGGTATAGTACCTGCTACTACTCCACGAGCAACGCCAACCCTCCAGTAGTCTCAGTTAATTATTGTGAAGTTTCCTATTCGTGTCAAAACAATCTACTCATATTATTCAGAACTCCTGATAAATCAGATTATCTGTGGTTGCGTGACTTGGCTCCTGTGTAACGCTGATCCTTTGTGACAATATTCCAGGCAGAGGAAAGCTCCAGGGCCACAAATCGAGATATATTCAGCTACAAAGCCATCTAGCTCTGAGCACAAACAGCAGCAGGTTTCACCAACTGCAGGAACAACCAAGTACATGGTACAGAGAAAGGAGTCAAACATTTGGAATTCATATTACACACAAATCTCAGCAGGAAAATAGGTGATCAAAATAAAAGCAGATGATAGAGAAATAGACTATAATGAACTAGACAACGGTCAGGGATGTATTAAACAAATGACAAGTTTTATTCTTTTGTATGGACTGAATCCTTCATCTAGCTTTTGAACAATCTGCTGATCATAAAAATTAAATTTCAGGGATGAAACGTTCCTGAAACACAGGAACGTCACTTATAAATTACACACTTCATTTCCTATGTATACATTTGACTCTGTACTTGGTTCAAACAGTACACATTCTGACCCAATCTATTCCTCAATCTGACTAAATGGGCTGCAAAACATACTTTAGCCGAACCTGGTATAAACTCCCTCTCATTTATACAACAACAACTTGGATTTATAAAACGCCCTCCACGCCAGACAGCATCTCAGAGCGCTTTACAGTAACATTCATCTTCTAGGAGACATTCGTTAGTAAATGGAAGTGGGAAACCCCAAAACTTCACAATATTTATCCAGCCCCATGCATTCAGGGACAAAACTCCACCCACATCAGCGCAGAATCATTAATCCTGTGGAGTGTCTGATGTTCAGTCTGCACCTACTCTCCGACCCTCCAGTACTATCAAACATTTTCAAGAAGCTCAACATCAGCTGCTTATGTTGGGTATTTACTCTGGAGAAAAAACAATGAATCTCCAATACTGCTTGAGGCTTTTTAATTTCAAACTTATTCCCCAGGTTTCACTCCACAATCTAAGTCATCAACTTCAGCTCTGCCCCTCATAATATCAAAAGACTGGATCATGTTTGTCCTACCCCTCAGTTTTATTTCTTCTGACAAGAAAACTTCAGCTCTGTGAGCTTCTCCTCATAAAGTCCTGGATTCAGTCTTGTTGCTGTTATCTGAAACCTCATCACTATTTCACCACTATTTTAAAGGTAGGCCAAATTAGACAATATTCCAATAGTGGCTTCAACCAGAGTCTTGCACAAGGCTAGAATAAGTTGCTTCATGTCCTCAGGATGCACCTAGGATATGATTGGCTTTGTTGCTGGTAGCTTTGTATTGTCTGGAAACCTTCAGTGACCGATCAACAATCACGAGTAGTTCTTTCTCCATCTCCCATATAATGACATTGTGTGCAAATGTTTACTAATTATTGTCTGCTTTGACAAACTAATAGTTCCAGATATTAGAGAATTAATATTGTTCCCTTGGACGATACAAGACAGCAGTTCGCACATTGATACTTACAAATGCACTGCTCATTAACCCATGGCAAGGTCTTTGGGTCAGTGTTTAATAGTTACACCAGCGATCACTATAGCAGTATAAGCCCAAAACACCACTTCAGTGCACTCAACATATAACTACATTGCAAATTGCACATTTACTGAGCAACCTGCTGCAGTTCAGAACCACAAGTGCACAAGAGGAAACGGATCCCTGAAGTACAGGAAGAAAAGGTCATTTGTATCCCTAGAAATGAAGCCAGGAGCAGAGACTTGTGCAGTAGATCTAGCAAGCTACTAAACTCCTAATTAGCTACCTAAAGTTGAAGCCCAATCCTGCACATTGGATCTGGATATCTTATTTTTTTCTCAGACCTTTACTAATCTGCTGTAGCATTGCATTCATACACTTTAGGACTATAATAACTCCAACACTAAAAAACATTATTGAGCTGTGTTAATCACTCAACCTAATCAGCAAGAATTACACAGAAGACGATTTCCTCACCACATTCAGATCAGATTAAATATTATAAAGTACACAAGAAAAACATCCACTAGAACTTGAAAATAAGGTACCTGTTTCTGTGTGCATTATTATAAAAAGAAATTCTCCCATTCAAATTAACAGCTAAAATCTCCAGTTACCTTCATAGATAAGTTGGTACCATTAGCCACACTGAATAGAGAATGCTTAACACAGCAACACCATTCAGTACACTTAGGTTGTCAGAAACAAAACGGGTTTCATTCAAATACGTATACAACAACGGGAACAATCCTCAATACTTAGTTCAACACTACATTCTGCATTTTAAAACAGCTTTAAACAAATGCTCAAAATAATCAATGGACAAGACTGTGCAAAATTTTGCAGAGTGCATGCTCCTGCAGACAATGCATTCATACAAAATCATTTAAAAACTGCCGAGTGGAAGGGGAGAGGATAATATATATATATATAGAGAGAGACAAATTATTATGAAATTATTATTAAAGATGCAGGAGGCTAGGAACAAGTCACACAAGGTAGGCCAGGAGGCCATATGGTACCTGATTTTCTTTGGAAGATTCTGCGTTAGTGCTGGAAGGCCGGTTGAAATGGAATAATGCACGAGCAGCAGAACCGAGAGGGAGACCAGGATAGCTGAATTAATGACCACCGCCCCGCCAACAAAGCCAAACACAAACAGAAGCATGCAGCCAGGACTCATGGCTCTGTGCTGGCATGGTTGTGCTCCGAGACCAAGAACACCGTGGGGGAAGGTTACACGAGGGATGAGGGTGTATCCTTGGGACTGAAAAGGCTGTCAGTCAAGCACCGCCACAAAAGCAGCTACAGAAAACAATGCCATCAGCAAAGCCGACGAGCTACATTCTGCAGCAGCTCACACAGAATGACATCATGCTGCTCGCTGGCTGGATAGCCATGGAGCATCAGTGCTGCAGCAGCTCGAGTTCAGCACTCATTCGCCAGCACCTCCTCTCTGCTCATTGGCTGCAGAACCCATCACTTGCATAATACAGGCACATAAAAGGAGACAGCATCATTGAGAACAAATAACTAGATTGGGTTCTTATATGTAACACCAAGGCCCCGGGGCTTCTAAACCTACCCGTTAAACTCCAGTTTTCTTAAAATTCAACAAAGTATATTTTTTTAAAAAATGAAAGCAGTTTGCCTTTATAGCTTCTAATTGAGTGCTCTCAGCATAATTATTTTAATTCCAATCCATTACCCAGCCGTGCTTCTATTATACAATCCACTTGTCCAACATCAGCCAATCTATTGTTCACTGATCTGAAGTGTCAGACAAATGGGTCACTGGTCATATGTTCCAGAAACCAGTCAATGTTTAGATTCTGCTAGAAAGGAAATTAGAGCCAACAAGGGTTCTCCCTCTCCTCCGTGTCCTGGATGCTTACTTTCCTCAGTGTCCCAGGCATTGGCTGCCTGGCCTCGGTATACTCACCTCAATCTGTTGTGCACTCCTGACTCCAGTGGATCCCCACCATGCAACTGTTGAAATTTGGTTCGCTCTAAGTGCTCCATATAATTGTGAATCATCTATGAATGAGCAAGAAGGAATCACATTGAAAACATTTTATTATCTCAAGATACATGCTTTCGATTAGGAACAGAGTTACTCACTTTATAAAATGACGGTGTTACAATACTTCTTTTTCTCCTGTCTCTCTATAATAATTAAATTATGGATTATCATAATTCACCTTTGAGTCAGGCAAATTTGCATCAAGTTCTTTCTTTAAAGTACAACATCTGAGAATTTTTTTGAACAAAGTCCAAAAAGCACAAGAGAGGAATCTCCCAGCTGAGACCTTCAACAATCAACCAGTTACAAAGAATTAGCATCAATCCTGATCCCCTTCAATGTTAAACAATGTGCTGTGCATAGAAGCAGCAGCTTGAAGGCATTGGCTTCGGTTGAGCCACTTTACTAGACCCAACACCTCCCCCAAGGAGACTAGATTCTGCAGGGGACGACAACTTGAACCAAATGTGATTGTGCATGAGTCACCATGAGATTCTTCTATTCCCTAAACAATTGGCAGATCATTTTTGTGTAAAGCAAGGTGGTGGTGGTGGGGATCCTTTAAATGGATGTGCTCAGTGTTCCATTATGTCTGCCAGGTCCTTCAAGACGTTCAGTCTACGTCAAACATAAGTGGAAGTTGTTAACTTTCAGGGAGAAAACAGCTTCCTGCTCATACCAATGACAGCTAGCCAGGAATTTGCCCAAATAGGACAAGACTTGGTGAAGCTGCATGTGAACGCACATAGATGGGCTTCTCATTGGAGAAGAGGTCAAACTTTGAGCGACCACTTCTGTCCTTTTAAAAATGATGTTTCCTTTACAAATACCTCAAAGCTTTCCTAAGTAGGTCAGTGTAGACAAAGCTAAGGAAATTCTTGATTATTTAGTCTTAAACCCTGGAACAAGCAGGCACAATTACACAGGGTGATTCTTATATTTGTGTGTGTGCAATTCTCGCCATCTGTGCACACATTCTTAATTCCTCAGCCTGGATTACACATGGCTGTTATTAATTAGTTACAGAAGCAGATAAACCAGTGCATCAGATTTATGACCAAAATTGTTTATACTGTGGCACTACCACTGGTTGGATTGCCCTGGTACTCTTATTCTAGTGAGGAGATGCATAGAGCCCTATGTTAATCTTGTACTAATGGGCTGCTTGTGAATATTCTAATGCATCACTCCAAATAGTTCCCATCACAACCCACAGCTTACTGTAGTGCTGCAATTCTTTAAATACTTACTAGCTTCTTCAGAGGGGAAGAGGGAAATTTAGAGGGATATATACATCCTGTGCCTCTGGAGCTTATGAGCAACGTGTGTGTGTATATGCCTAAGCAAGTAAAGGCAGGAAGTGGAAGTGCTGCCTTCAACGAAGGTTGAACCACATAGTTATTGGCTTCAGTGATAGGAAGGGGATTCTTTAAAGTACAAAGGAACAGGAAAGTTACTTGAGGGTCAGGGAAGAAATCTATAATGATGGAAGTGAAAAGCATGTCCTTTTTCCATTAATCTCCTCATCAGTATTCATAAGTGATGATTACTGGAGTATTCCTGAGCCTATGACCACATTGTCAGGGGATGCTTCACAGGATATAATAGAAAGACTGCCATATGAACTAGCATTTAAGAAATGAGAGCAATTGAAAGTGTTAAACAACAACAAAATTACAAAATTAAAGGAAGTCCCAAGGTGCTGAATAGTTGGGACTCAGGACCCGAACGTGGGGGGGCAGGGTTTGGACGAGGGAGGGCAGGGAGGTAGGAGGGCGGCTGAATGCCCAGTTGAAAAGGAGGGTCTTGAGTTGTGCCTTCAAAGAAGCAAGGGAGGGAGCAAGGCAAAGGGATTGTGGAATGGAGTTCTAAAGAGCGGGGCCAGAGTGGCTGAAAGCCTGGCCACCGATGGTAGGGAAGGTCGTGTGGGAGACATGGAGCAGGCTGGAGCCTGCTGAACGGAAGAAGGGTTGATAGGGGTCAGGTCAGCAGGTCGGAGATGTAGGAGGGAGCAAGGCCGCGGAGAGCCTTGAAAGTGAGGCCAAGGATTTTGAATTCTATCCTCTGAGGGATAGGGAGTCAATGGAGCTGGGGCGAGGGTGGAGTGATGGGGTCACGGAGCATGGTGCAGGAGAGGCATTGAGCATAGATACAATGCACTCAAGAATACTGTATTTGAAAGCAAAAATCAGGAATGTTCAGGATGAATAGCTGCACAGTTTCCAAGCAGAAGTCGAATTTTAGTCGAATGGGGGATCGCTTTTGTAGCGGTAATAAACCCTTCAAAAAAAACCAAAATAAATTATAATAATAAATTGGTCACTTAATCCACGACTGTTTGTGGGACACTGCTGTGCACAATTGGCTGCCACATTTCGCCCACAAAATATAGTCAATTCACTTTACAGCATATCATGGAGTCCTGTAGCTCAGTAGTGAGAGCACTCGCCTCATAAGCGAGAGACCTGGGTTCGATTCCCAGCAGGGCAAACCTTGGGCAAGTTTCCTTACTCTACACGTCTGATAATAATCCAAGAAAAAAAATTGGTTATTTTAATCCACGACTGTTTGTGGGACACTGCTGTGCGCAATTGGCTACCACTTCTCATGCACAAATATATAGTCAATTCACTTTACAATATATTCTGTGAAGCGCTTTGAGATGTCTAGAAGACGTGAAAAGCAATATATCAAATACAAGGACTATTATTATCCTGCGAAGTGCTTTGAGGCGTCTCAAAAGATGTGTCAAGGCACTGTATCAAATGCAAGTATTATTATTGTTGAGAAAACAAAGAGTGTGATCGTCTATCAGGAGACTCAATTCTTGGTCAACATTCCGAGGATCTGCTGATGGTCTTTCTGGCTCACACCATGAATCAGAGGCGACAGTGGAGCAGCTTGTGAGGCTCCTGTTTACTGCTGTATTTTCACACGTGCTATAAACTTCCATGCCTGGCAATGGAAAATTGAGTTGATCCTCTGTGGTAATCTCAGTAGCCTGATTCCCAAGCCACAATAGACTACAGTACTCCAAGGCATTGCTGACGACAGATCAGTCGGTCTGACTAATCAGCAAGACTTGGGAGGGGCAGACCAGTCATTGAAGGCAGGGGTTCTTCACACTTGGCTCCTGTTAATCCTACAAGCCAAAGCCCCGACTGGTATAGTGGTCTTAGCTGGACAAGCAGCAGGAAGTTTGCCAGAAAGTGCTCACAAAGGCAAGCTATGTGTTTTAGCTGGGTAAACTGCAGAGATATCTTAATGTGCCACACTGTGTGCCACTCAAGCCTGATTCTGCCAACCTGCATCTAATACTTTCCAGAATTAGGTAAATATGTTGCATCTGATTGGGGAGAGTGTGCATTCCATTCCAGAGAAAAGTGGAATACTGTTTAATTAAAATACTAGATTTAAACTGGAGGAAGTAGCAGGGATTGCGAAGCATGTATATATGTGGCTGGGGGTGTCCACTAGCAGAATTCCACAGCATCGATTGTTCTGCTTTTGTTCACATCTACATAAATGCCTCAGAGGGTAAGATCTGATTACAGAACTGCTTGCTTCCCTTGCATTGATTACCTGCCTTAAGGAAAGGCTAGAAAAGTAGCAGTTAAAATAGTCTAAGAGTAGAGAGGAGGAGGTGCAGTCAAGGTTTGATTACCTTTCTTTATAAGCGAGAAAGCCTGAAACGCTGGATACTGTGCTGCAGATGCAGCATTGACATCCTGCAAATATTGGAACTCCATCTAGTGTTAAAAAGCCGGCACTGAGCAGCACAATGGACAGTTTAATCTCCACCTACAGCTTTGGAACTTGACAGTTCAATCCTGTTCATTGTTGCTCACTAACAACTGAGTTCTGTAGTAGCAGCTATACGTTTCTGTGACAAATAGAATTCAATTCACAATGCTTCAGTGAGTTCAGGCCATGTAACAGGATATGTCTTGGTTGACCAGGAGATGCAATATAATGTTGGTTAAGTTTGCACAAACGATCACAGCTGGATGCTCCACCTCTCAAAAGAAACTGCATTCCTCACTAGTTAACTCCCTATTTCTATGTAACAGAGCCTATTTTCAATGTATAAAATTCTTGAATGTAATAAAGCTGCAGGTGAGTGAATATATAGTATTTAGAAAGAGTTGGTGATACTGCCATTAGATGGTGCTAGTATACTACTGCAGTATTGAACGTTATGTTCACTGTGTTCATTGAGGCACAAGTCTCAATCTGATGGGCACAAGGAATGGACAAAAACATGTTGCAAATCTTCAAAAAAGTTATTTTGTCATTGTGCTAGAATTAAAAAAGGCTTTCAAATAGTTGAATTAGGGTAAGCCTAATCAGAAACAGGAAGATACCACAATTACCAGGTTATATTACAAAGTACAGACTGATAAGGTTTCAGATCACAAAATTTCATCGAAAGTATGTTAAAAAACCCTGATATAGACTGTCAAGTATATCTTGCTAAAGCAACAGGTGCCTTACATTAAGACGCAGGGTTACTCTGTCTGAAACATACCTCGGTGTGCCTTTGATGAAGTGCATTGTATTCCTTCTTCAGTTCCGACTCTCGCTCCTCCAATCTACCAACTTAAAAAAACACATTTAAAATCAGATTAGAGAAGCTGCGTTTAACAAAAACATCATCTTTATTGATTAATATGATTTAATTCATATTAAATATATCAGACACAAAATGTTCAAGACTAAAGCTGCGAGAGAAAACAGACCACGCAAACACAACCCTGTACATCCCTCACCCTACACATTAGAGTAGACCAGTATTCTGAAATCTACTGGTATTGGAGAAAATCAGGCCAGCTTTATGTTTCATAAGACTTAGGAGTCAGTTTCACTTTGGATAGATTGTTTTACAGCAAGATTCTCTGTATCCTAACCTTTCCTAAATGCAACACAGGGAGGAACAAGACACAGGCCAGGAGTGGAAAAATTCAGTGTTCTTGAAGACTATCCAGTTGTGATGCTCTTAGACACACTGTCTGGGCTCACACATGGAGAATGATCACTTGGATAAGTATGGTTGAAATTCAAATTGTGTGCATAGCAGAAGTAGTGAAACTAATGAATAAAGAAATTCAAGTGGAAACTCATGTAACTAAGCTGCACAACAAACTCAGGACAGTTTTAAGGAGGAAACTGAACTTAATTGTAACATACAACGGAGGAGCTTCTAGCTCCAAACTTCACCATTCTGTATTGTTTAGTTAAGTCCTGGAAGATATAACTCTGAAAGCCAACTGCAATAAATTAATTGATGAGTGGACTGCAGTGTTGAAGCTGTGTCAAGACTGAGTGCCAATACTTATACTGGGAACATGAGCAGAGGATGATGTGCAACCCAGCTAAAGGTTTACCTACTATTTTAGCAGCGTATCCAAGTGAGTCAGCAATCCAGGTAACTGCAGCAAGCATGTCACGTTTAGCAGCTGCTACAGGTTCTATAGTTACACTTAGCACCACACCCAAAATTTGGTGCACTTTGACCACAAAATACACACAGCTTTTTTTAATGTATCTTCTAATCTTGCTAACCCAATGGGAAAGTGTGTTACGACCACCCAAAGCAATACTGAGGCATACAGATCAGAAAGTTGCAGTTTTAAAACCAGAGTCCCTGCTGGGTTGTTTATCTAAGCTCGGGTCATGGTAGTGATACTATACTTAACTCAAAAAAAAACTCTGGGTTTCAAAGCTGCTTTGCCAGAAGCAACCCACCTCTCAGGAAAGGCCTGTTCAATACTAAGCAAAAAGTTAAAAATAGAAACCCAGCATTAGGGAAGGGCGGAAATGTTTAAAAATACAAGAAGAGGCAAGAATCAAGCTGGAGAACAGACACTGGTCACCAGGAAACCTAAATAATCTTACAGAATTATTTTGACCAAATTGTAATGAGCAGGGTTACAGTTTAAAATAGAACATTAGTAACACTGGAAGCCTGATCATGGGGCACAGATGTGGTCGGAAGGCAAAACAATTGTTAAGATGTCAAATAGATGCAGATTACGTCACAGCCCGAGCTCATTCTGACACGAATGGAAGGGTGATGTTTTAGTACGTAGCCATTCTATTGCAGTGAGTTTTCCTGAGTTTTAATGTCATGTAACAGAAGACACAAATAACCATAATCAAGTTAGACTGCAGACAATAAATCTTTCTCTCCACACAACCAGAATTTCTTAATTTCTTTGGTCAATGGGTACCCTTCTAAGGGATGGACCAAGTATGTCCTGAGAACAGGGTAATGAGTCATAGAGAGCAACAGTCTGCTTGGTTTTCACAATAAGTCGCTAATGGATTATGGACAACTGGTGCACAGCAATTCTATACAAGCTATGCAGCTACATCATGCTCTAAACAACTAAATCTTTTTTAAACCATCGTTTCAGATTCTACATTCTGCTGCTCAATGCTGGAGTACAATAAGCAGTGGTTTTGATTACACTATTCACTGTCCATCCACAGGCCCATATCCTTCCATTATAAACTATTTTTGGCTAAAGAGCTACTTTGTTCTGGCTTCTGTAAAGCGAGGTGTTGGAGAAAAGCCATAGCTTATCTCCGAGATGTTATCTCCGCTATACAATCATTAGGACTGAACGCCAAGCTTGTTCATTTTTGGTCGTTGTCATCCTCTCTTCTCTTATTCAAACACACTGGCTGCTAAAGATGCTTCAGGTTGGTAACAACATTGATTAACTCTGATCCTAAATGAGTCAGGAGCCTGAGGGTGGCACCAATGGCACCTAATCACAGTCAGTATATTTTAATACAACTTTCCTAGGCTTAGAACTGAGACATATTTGGTTAAAAATACTATCATTACTTAATAGCTATCACTACTAGCTGTTAACTCAGTGACGGTAGACTTGAGGACGAGGCACTGGACATCTCACCCCACAAAATGAATCTGGACCATTAATCCCCTACACTCCAGTAACATCCTACTAGCAAATCTCCCCCCATCCCCCCAAAAAAGTATGTAGTCTTTGATACAGAAACAGTGGCCTGTTTTAGAAGGCAACAATGATTATCTTCCACAGTGAAATTATTAAATGGACTCAGGTAGGTGCTGCATCTGTAAGGTGGGGCAAGGTGCCTGTGAAAACGCAGGGTTCAGAGCAGATTGGTGCCAAGCATTTAGCGGCAGTTTGCTCACAATGACGCTGCTTCACAACATTCCACTGTTTTGTAACCCTGAGCCTCGCTCATCTGTCACAGGTTTGCTATAGCCAAGTAGACACGGTAAAGAGGATACATTTTGATTCTAAATGCAAACCTTGTGAAAGCACAATGACGGTACCAGCCCAAAATGCAACGCAATAACTGGCATTGTTTTCTAAGAATTTATTGGTGCCCCAAACTAATTATTTGAACAAATAGTCCTCTAATGCCACAACTAACTCTGGGTTAGAATTGGGTGTTGCAGAATTAAAGTACTATGCTATAATCATAATTTGTGTCTGTCATGCCATAATGGCATGAATCTAAATCTTAATGGACAACTATTGTAGGTCAGGAGCACAGTCCACCTATGATTATTTGGTGCTAGAGTCTTGCTGTAACCAAGTGACCCACCCAAGCAAAAGTGTTTTTTTGTATGAATCTCTGTGTTCAAAGAGGGAGGATTTGTTTTTAACAGTGCCAGCATTAAGCATTCCCAAACAGGGCACGTCACACTCCAAGTGAGATAAACTGAGAATGTAACAGTAAACACTTAAGAATTTTAAGCGACCTTCTGAGTCTGCATTACAGTATTCATTCCTATTTGGTTACAAAAGTTCTAAGGTTTATGATCAGAATATAATGGAGTCAGGTTGGAAGGCAAGAACGATAGTGCTTAGTCAGAAATCTGAAAGGTGCTTTTATTATCTGCAAAACTATCTATTTGCCCCCAGCCAGGGGCACCTCTTCAACTGTTCATTTCTCAATACAGAAATTCTATTGTTGCTTATATTTGCCCTGATTATTAAGAAGTTAATTTATCACTCACCAGAGATGAAAAGAAACATTAAATGCTGGAAATCAGATTACAACAGAAAGTAATGGAAATACACTTCGCATTTGAAATTTTGGGTGTGATCCGAATCATCTCAATAACACTTTGAAGAAATCCTGAACCACTCTGATTATCAATCCATTTCAATTGTAATGCCTATTCTTCTTCATGTTTGATATCAAGTCAAGACAAACACAAGTATTCTCAAATCAGAGGCACTTACTCTGGTCTGCGTAGTTTTTTGCTTTGAGTTCAAGCTGTCGTGTCTGCGATTCCAACACCTCCACTCGAACCTGCAGGTCCTTCTTCTCCTGCTCTTGAGAATCCTCAAATTCAATAAATTTCTACAAGAGAGGACATACTCAATATTAAAACAGCTGAAATGTCAGGTATCACCAAGGCAAAGCACTGGAGCATTCCAGGGGCAATGAATCTGTTCGAGGCATTGTGAGAGGTTTTTAAAAGCTGGGTCAGAGGTAGCAAGTGAATTTGGAAGAGAGTTCCAGAGAAGAGGGACATGATGGTATTCAAGTGGTAAATTGGAATGAGAAGGTGGTGGTTCTGGCTAGAATGTAGGAGATTGCATTGGATTGCACAGATCGTATAGAGTAATGAGGACAGTAACATTTTGGCAGGCCAACCTAGATACAAAGACTTCATTGGGAGTCTTGTGATTACATTCTAAATATTGCTTCTACTCCTTAGGACAATTCACTTTCACTTCAGTGATCAACACAATCTCAGGCTCCAGCAGACATCATTTGACTCAACAGAAGGCGACTCACATGACTGTCTTCACTGACCAATAATACAATGGCCTCTGGGCTTAATCACGTTATTTTTAGTTCCTTCAAAACCATAGATTATATTGAATAGAAACTCTGATATCCTGCAGGAACAAACAGTACCAAATAAACCTCAAGATTCTGTGCAGATCACTAGACAGCTGATTCTAGTCAGATCACACTGCACTCTTTGTCCACATCCCTTCATTATTGAGTATATTGAAAAGATGTCTAATCAACACAAAGGGAACACTTTAGCAAAATCAGGTTCAAATTGGTACAATCTTATAGTACTATCTCCAGCTCTACCAGCCTGCTGTACTATTCCAGCTGTGCCGGAGTCCCATTAACATTCCTTATTATCAAATACTAGCTGTAAATTTCAAGGATGCTACAGGTACATTGTTTCTAGTCAGACTTGGGCTACAACTGACATTTTACATTTCACATTATCATATATATTGATACTTATCAGCAAGATCACATAGACTAAAGTGCCCTAAAGCTCCAACATGAACGGTCTTTCAGGTAAATCAATAGGGAATCAACTGGTCTGTATTCCCACATATTCAGGGAAGCAGACCTTTCGAATAGGATGTACAATGTCTCATGTGGAGGAAATTTGTTAGTCGGCATTAGGTATCGGCATCAAAATAAATGATTATTAAACACAATACCTTTCTGAAGTTTTTAATCTATGCCCGAGTTACTAACCGACTCAGTCATATCATTCTTAAACACTTTCATTCAATGTCAAGCCATTTATGAACTTTTGCAAGATTAATTCTGAGATTTGAATTCCCCTAGTTCATAGCATTTATACATGTGTTTATAATCTAATTTCTCTCTCCATTAACATTTATTTAGTTTAATTGACTAATGCCAGTGTTCTTCCAACTACTGACTGAGGCATCGCTAAAACGTAGGTACAAAAACAACAAGCATTTCTATAGCGTCCTTCACGCAGGGTAGCATCCCAGAGCACTTGACAATGGCAGAGTCTGACCCCAAGCCAGGGGATGGAGGGGGGGGGGGGGTGACCGTAAGCACGATCAAAAAGGTCTTTAGCCAGGATTTGAAAGTGGGGAGGGAGGGGGCAAGGTGGAGGGATTGAGTTCCAGAGTTTCAGGATGTAGTGGCTAAAGGCATGGCAAACAATGGTGGAGAGGAGGGGATGAGGGACGAACAGGAGGCAGATGAGCAGAGGCAGCGGGTGGGGGAGGAGTGTAAGCAAATTGGATAGGAAGGGAGGTGTGAGGGCATGAAGGGATTTGAAAACGAGCAATAAGATCTTGAAATCGATCAGAAATTGGGAGCTTGTGGAGCCTGGCAAGGACTGGTGTGATGGGGTAACAGAGGCGCTGACACCATCAGCATCCAAGGCTGCACTCTCCACCTCTCAAAGCCAGTCAGGAACCTCGGCGTTTTGTTCGACCCTGAGCTGTCCTTTCTCCCTCACATCCGCACCACAACTGGCACCGCCTTCCATCACCTCCGGAATATCGCCAGATTACGGCACTACCTCACCCCTCACGCGGCTGAAACCCTGGTCCACGCCTTTGTCACCTCAAGGCTGGACTATGGGAACTCTCTCCTCGCCGGCCTTCCCGCCACCTCCCTCCACACTGCAGGTCATTCAGAACTCTGCAGCTCGTGTACTGTCCCGCACCAGGCTTCGGGACCACATCACTCCCACCCTCGCTCGCCTCCACTGGCTCCCCATCCCCCAGAGGATTGATTTCAAGATCCTCATCCTCACCTACAAGGCCATTCACGGCCTTGCTCCCTCCTACCTCTCCAACCTACTATCCCCCTACCTACCTGCCCGTACCCTCCGTTCCTCTGGCTCCGCTCTGCTCCACGTCCCCCGCCCCAACCGCCCTACTATCGGTGGTCGGGCCTTCAGCCTCTCAGCCCCAGGCTCTGGAACTCCATCCCCCAGTGCCTTCGCCGCTTCCTCCCTTTCCTCCTTCAAGGCCGGTCTCAAAACCTTTCTCTTTGACCGAGCCTTCAGCTCCCCTCTCGACTCTCTTCCTCCTCCTCGCTCCCTCCCTTCCCTCCCCTCACCCTGACCATTTCCCCCCTCCTCTCTCCCTCCCTTCCCTCCCCTCACCCTGACCATTTCCCCCCTGCTCGGGTCATGACCCAACTGTGCAGCGCCTTGGGACGTCCTCCTGACGTGAAAGGCGCTCTATAAGTGGAATCTTGTTGTTGTTGTTGTTGTTTTGTGTGGGTGAGAATCCGGGCAGTGGAGTTCTGAATTAGTTGTATTTAGTGTATTGTGGAGCTGGGAAGACCAGCGAGGAGGGCAGATAATTGTATATGAAGTAATAATATTAATCCTTGTATTTAATATAACGGCTTATCACGTCTTTGAGGGATCTCAAAGCACTTCACAGAATATATTGTAAATTGAATTTACTGTATTTTGTGGGCAAAATGCAGCAGCCGATTGTGAACAGAGGTGTCCCACAAAAGCTCATGAATTGAGTCACAAAATTATTATTAGTTTTCAAGGAATTGTTTGATAAAGTACTGTATCACGTCGTTGAGACGTCTCAACGACATTGTAAGGATATCTTACATTTTACATTATCATGTTGGAGTAGCAAGGATGGTGGATCTGGTTAAAGATGCACTACAGGAAGAGCTGTTGTCTCAAGAGTGCCATTCTGTTCATGTAAATTGTATCACATGCCTTATACTTAAAAAAAACTCTCCAAAAGTCCTTTTCAATAGTAACAGGATAAAAAAGATGGAAAGCAGAGAATCAGTAGGGTGAAAATGCATCATGCCAGTGGTTATTTTAAAGTGCTTTTCATTTCAGTGTCAATCACAATGACTTCATATTCCTTAGCACTTGCAAACCCCCAAGTGTTTACCAATTCAAAAGGAAAATGCCGCATATGATTATCTTACATGATAAATGTCAAAGAACGTCTTCTACTCACTCACTCACAAATCTTATGTTATGATTTTTACTCAAAGTGGAACTCACAATCTGGTTTGGATATCTTAAGCAAGGTGAGGGGTTTCTGTATGTGTCAGACACCTTACTGACCAACAAAAATGTTCATGCAATGGTAAAGTGTGGGCAAGCCTCGCTTCTCTTTGGGAGGTCAGAAATTGAAATTAGGATGGGAGCAGAAGTGTAGAGGGGCAGAAATGCAACTAAAAGAGAAGTTATTCTGCATAAAGAAATTTCGCCCACAAAATATAGTCAATTCACTTTATAGTATACTCTGTGAAGCGCTTTGAGACGTCTCAAAGACATGATAAGGCGCTATATCAAATGCAAGAATTATTATTATGAAGACCTTGTGCACGGGAAAAAGTATGAGCAGGAGAAGGTTCTGAGAACATTTATTAATAGGGACAAAACAAAAGTATCTGCCAAAACTATTCAATTTAGAACATTTCTCATTGATTTTTTTCTCTCTAGAGAGAAGCTGCAAAAGTCTCGTCATTTGTGTAGATATAGGGCAGCAGCTAGCTAAAAAAGAACAGGTATTTCGAGTCTGATTTGGAGTCTGCCTATTTTGTGATTTGGCTTCAGCTCAAAAGAAGTGCTGCAGAGCGTCGGGAAGCTTGGTGGCACTGCAAAAGGCTCTTCACAATATGCTTAAGGCGAGAGCACTTTATTGCATCATAGGGAGATTTTCCTTATCTCGTGACAGTGGTATAACCAGACTCTGCACCAGTGACATAAAAATGATCCAACTCACATAACCAAAGGGCAAGAGTCAGCCTTTGGCAAGATTACCTCTGCAGCAATCACTGCAAATTTGGATAAAGGATCCAATGCAAAGAGAATCCAAACTAACCAAAAGTTTACACTTTTTTGAAGGAGGTGAGGGAAGGACAAGGCCAAGGGGCTTTGGAGAGTTCGAGAGTGGAAGCAGAAATCCTGAAAGCCCAACCGTCGATGGTGGGGCAGGTGATAATATAAGAGGGCAGTGCCTGCCAAACGGAGAAAGCAAGCAGGTGGATTGGTAGGGTTTTAGACAGTAACAGAGGTAGGTGCAAGACATTAGAGGGATTTAAAAGTGAGGATGAGGATCAAACAATCAGTCACTACCTTTGACAATAATTACTGTGAAGCACTATAAAAGTTAAAGGATTACTTGTAAAACCATTCAGCCTTTTTCCTCCATATCTCCCAGCAATAATCACTCAGCTTTGTGGGCTCACATAAGGAGAGAAGCTCTGTACACTTTGCTGGCTGGAGTGAGTCACATACACAAGCCTTTCTCTTTGGCCTTGCCAAGTCCCTTCAACATGCTGGCTGCGTTTCTCAAAATAGATCTGAGGTCACTACAGTATTTAATTCCAGACAACTTTAAATACATAAAAACAAATCTTGGTGCATCTCATATTAGAAGCTCAACCTGGAGCTATAGCTGCTGTTTGTGTGGTGTAGCAAGTAGAAATGCTGATTAGACGTCTAGGATTTAATCTCATCACGTGAGCAAGAATAACAAATTGCATTTATATAGCACCTTCACCCGGAGTAGCGTCTCGGAGCAAGTTAAGTGAACCTCTGGCTGAGAAGCAGACCC